GCTCTCAAGATGATTCCACGAGGGTCCCTCACGCCCTGCATGCAAACGCACTGCTCAGGTACGGCTCTACGTATTTATTTGATCAAAAATACAGTAAAAATTGGGAATTATTATCAGAATTTAAATCATCTGTTGTCAATGTGAATATATAGTAAAGTGTAATTTATTCCTGTGATTTTCAGCATCATTACTCTAATATCAGGATCTGATGATCAAGACACATTTATGATTATTATCAGTTGTGCTGCTTAATATTTTAGTCGAAACTGTGATGTATTTTATTTTTAACGTTTCTTTGATGAATAAAAAGTTCTAAAAAGCAACAGCATTTGTTTAAAATATAATCTTCTGTAACATTATCGATTTAATTCATTCCTGTTGAATTATAGTATTAATTTCTAATTAACTAACTAAATATAAAATGTTCATTTATGCTCTGACAAAATAAATATGGAAATGTAGATGCTTTCCTGTAACGGTAGTCTAGAGCGCTGGCGCTTGCAACGCCAATGTCATGGGTTCGATTCCCAGGCAAATGGAGTATATGGAGATCAAGACATAGAAGTGAAACTTCTTTATATATATATATATATATATAATACAGTGTTGGGTAAGTTACTCTAAAAAAGTAATTAATTACTAGTTACTAATTACCTCTTCAACAGTGTAATTAGATTACTGTAATAATTACTCTCTCTAAAAATTATTTAATTACTTTTAATTACTAATTACTTTCAAAATCCCATATCAATCTCAACCAGCTGAATAATACAAGGATAGACACGAATCTGTTTTAATTCTTTCAAATAAATACTATAAAATTGCACGAATTACAAATTTTACACAAATTTGTACGAGTGCGGTCGTAATATTTAGGCGCCTCATAAAATGCATACGAATCGCTGTGAGATCGGATTGATCTATACACAGTATTTACCTCGATTACATCACAAGAAACTGTAATTAAATTACAGATAAATGAAGAGTAATCCCTTACTTTACATTTTCAAGGGAAAATTAAATTACAGTAACTAATTACTTAGTAATTAGTTACATCCAACACTGATTTTATATAAAATGTTACATTTATAAAATATATTTAATGATTTAAAAATAAATATCAGTGTGCAGATATTTACTATATAAATATAATATCGTTTTAAGGTTTTTTGTGTGTGTGTCGTCCCTCTCAGTGCCTGATAAGCAGTTCTGTCGCTCCATGGAGGATCTGAACTGTAGCAGTGCCTTGAGTGGCCGAGTCCCAGTGAGAGGACATTTCCCATCATTCCCTGCCTCCTCGCCCTCGGGTCAGCTGACGGTCCCGGGTGTGTGTGCGGGTCCCATCGGACGCAGCCAGAGCTCCAGCAACCTCCCCCAGAACCCCTACCAGGACACACACACACACACACACTCTCTCAGCAGCCCGAGCAGATCCTACAGCCAGTGGGACATGAGCGTCGCCGCACGCAGACACACACAGGGACACGTACAGGTAACACACACACACACACACACGGAACAGCTGACCAGGACAATCAGTGTGTAAATGCAAATCTGGCGCTTCTAATCTTTCATTATTATTCTAATTAGTTCTTGCGCTTTATCTTTCTCGGAGTGTTTCACTGTATATTTATTTATTTTAAGCTCAATAATCAGGGATTACAGACACATTCGGGTCACAAGATACTCATTTCTCGTCAAATACACTAATACACGTATGCCACACAGTCACACACAATCACACACACGCAAAGTTGTAATACACTATTATCATATTTCCACATTGTTACTTATTTCTTTGTAATTTTGTGAACCTTACTTGCAATTTCTGAGTTAAAATTGTTTCACAGTAAATTCTATACTGTAGGATTATTTTATCACAGAAATTTCTACTATATTTTATTAATTATTACAAAGGAACAACAATTAATTGTATATTAAATATGAAATTTTGAAGTAGAAAAACACTTTACAATAAGCTTTCATTTGTTAACATTAGTTACATTCTTTTCTGTAAATGCTCACATGCATATTTTTATTGCGTTTCAATTTATTATCTTATTCCTGTGTGTATGTTTTTTTCTGTGAATTGCTCTTCTGTAAAGCACTTTTTAAATATATAAATAAAGTTTTACTTACTACATTAGTTAAGATGAACTAACAATAATAAATACTTCTACAGCGTTTATAAAAAGTAGTTATTATTAATTTCAACGTTTACGGACAAATTATTTAAATCGAAAGTTGTAACTGTTAATATTATTTTAATAGACCTGAACTAACAATGAACGAATAACAATGAAACACTCACACAAACACACACACACACACACACACACAAACAAAAAAACAAACACACACACTCACTCACTCACATACAAACACACTCACAAACAAACACACACACACTCACAAACAAACAAACAAAAAACACACACACACACTCACAAACAAACAAACAAAAAAACTCACACACACACACACTCACTCTCTCTCACACACACACACACACACACTCACTCCACTGCAGCTTCAGCTTTTCTCTCAGTGTCTGAAACGCTTCGATCGAAGATTCAGTCTCTCTAAGCTCCGCCTCTCGGAGAGCTGCTCTGCTCTGATTGGTCAGAAACCAAACCCTCATTATCATATCTGACTCTCAGCTCTTGACACACTGGTTTCACAGTCTCAGTCTCAGAAAACAGCGTCTCCTCGACATGAACAACACAAACCGAACTCTTACAGTCTCGGATACACTAGTGTTTGAGGGCGGAGCTAAGAGACGCTGCTCAGCCAATCAAGATCACAGGCTGGCATTATGCAAATGAGTTACATTAGTTCATAGGTTTGTAAAAGTAAGGCTGTCCACAATTAGCTCAGAATCAGTTCTTTCTTTTTACTTTGTCTTGCACTTCGAGCTTTGAAACTTTGCAGACTTTAACATGAAAAGTATTTTAAGTATCACATTTGTCTCCCAAAATTCCTATGAAATTAGTCAATAGTGTCTTAATAATTAATAATATATGGAGCTACTCAAATCATTTGATGAGACGTTTGAGTTTATATTTAGACGTCTGAATATTACTGTCAATCAGCATTTCTATCATAAAACAGTTTATCACTTACATGCCTCATGAAGTATTTGGACACTGAAAGATTGACACACTTTATAATCTAAACATCTGACAAAAAGTATTTTATCTGGTATGAAATTGATGAGCGACTATCTCTTTAAATCTCTCCATGTCTCATCATGCACCAGTTTGTTTAACTCTATTGATTCTCACTGCCGTCTGTAGTGCATATGCTTGTTTCCAGGGTGACACACACACACACACACACACACACACACACACACTCAGCGAGAGCAAACGTGCACTCGTGGAAAAAGTTCAAGGCTTCATTTCAACCGCCAGCTGTTTCCTGCAGCACGAAACGAACACATTGAAATTCACCCACGCTACACGTAAAATATTCAGGCCTAAATTTAAAATTAATGCATTTGAATGGCATATACAATTCCCATCTGTTATGGTCATACAGTTGGAACATAAACTAATAATGCATATGTGTTAGTTATACATAAATGAAAAAAAAAGTTATTTACTATTTGCATCAAATTAAATAATCATATTTTCAAAATCCATTTATTCAGGTTGCTTAGAATCAGCAGTTCATTGTGAAAATCTAATTTATTTATTTATAGTATGAACGTGGTTAAAATATAAATTTAAGATAAATAGCGGCTCGATAAGACTGAAACAAATCGGATTTATTTATATGTCTCTCAAAATAATTGAGATGGCCAATCAAATTGAAGGAGGCGGGGCTTTACTAGTCACATGCATATTTTTAATGTAAAAAAAATGTGAGGTAGATTGTAATTGGCTAAACATTTACTATCTGACAACTGTTTATAGTAGGGCTGTGCAAAAATTAATTGCGATTAATCGCATCCAAAATAAAAGTCTGTGTTTACATAATATATTTGTGTGTGCTGTATATAATTAATAATTTTGTATATATAAATACCTATGCATGCATGTATATATTTAAGAATTATTTGCGCTTAAATTCTGTATATATATAAATACATAATCTATATTATATAAATATAAATATTTTATATATGAATAACACATTTTCTTAAATATATACATGTATGTGTGTGTATTTAAATACACAAAATAATTGTACACAGCACACACAAATATATTATGTAAACACAGACTTTTATTTTGGATGCGATTAATCGCAATTAATTTCTGCACAGCCCTAGTTTATAGATAGAAATGTTAAACCACTGACAGTACTAAACAGTAAAGCAAACTTCTCTACTTTTGTCCCTCAAATTCGGCTGTTTTGAATTGAAAATATCTTTACGCGATTCATGTGACGAGTCAAGAAACGTTTCACGTTTTCGACGTTCGAATACAAATTCGAAAGAAAAGATCTGCCTTGAAAATCTTGAATGTAACTCGACACCCTCACCTCATTTAGTATACGTGGTTCAATGAATATGCAGATGAGCCCCGCCTCCACTCGCTCACTCAGACGTTGATCTGATTGGTTACAAGGTCGTTTGTGACGTCAGAAACACCAGCGATTTCAAAGTGTATTTTTGGTTCACTGCAATTTTAAGCACAAAAAATTTGACTTATGAATTTACACATGGTTTGCGTATTAAAACACCACATACACACATAAACAACGCTTGATTTTCTCCACAAGGGGTCTAAGTATGTTTATGAGTGCAGCATGTTTTATTGAGCGTAAAGATGCTGTTCTGAACACTCATACACTGTCGTTCAGGAGTCAAGCGTGTCTGATATCAGAGAGAGAGACCCCTGCTGTTCATCTACGGCATGTCTCTCGCCCCGCACACGCCGCATGCCATATGGCATCATAGAGAAGAGTTATATAATCCAGATCGACACTGTTCCCACCTCAGAAAACATCCCTCCATCTCCACATAAACTAGCCGTAATCCATCGCTCAAAGCTTTTAAGTGCACTCAAACCTCGTCTGGACTAAAGTGCATGAATGACATCAGCGGACCTTTTACATTTAGCCCTGATTTATTGTTCGGTGGCTTCTAATGGTTTATGCTCCTCTGTATTGTTCATATAGTCGTCTGTTTTAGGCCACTTCCTCTTGACGGTTGTGGCTTCAAGCTGTTTTCTTACTTCGTGAAGTGTACGTCTATAACCACACTATTGTATCCCATCATGCACTCTGAAGTTCACCTCCGTACACTTTTAAGCGGGGATAATCTTGCACATGCACTAATTAGTCTCACAGACACACATTAAACACACATGCATTAGAAATCATGGTTGCATTCACCTAAAAGATCAGCAATAATTCGTTTTTGAACACATTTCAAAACGTTATTAAGGTTTAACTTCCTCCATGCTTTGTTGTGTTTGCAACTAATGTTGTTATTGTTAACTAAAAGTAAAATAGTTTGCGGTATAATTGAAATAAAGCTGAAATCAAGTAGTAGATGAAAACTTCAACTTAGATATTTTCTATTTTCTGAGATCTTTACTTTAAAGGTAAAACTGAAATAACGAAACCTGAATCTTTTAACTATTAAAAATCGTTGTTGGTAATTAAAAAAAAAAAAACTAAAATAAATTAAAATATTAAATGAATTCACATGAATGAAAATTTGAAAATTAGAAATTTGTAAATAAATTAAGAGTATAGATATAGTATTAAAACTAAGAAAACATTTCTTTACTTTTCATTTTTAAAACCGTTTGTAATTGAAAATCTGAAATATTTATAACATAAATATAAACATAATAAATATTTCAGTTTTTTATTTTCAAATTTTTAAATACATATGTATACACTAAAAAGGACATAAGTACATACAATTATTAAAACTAAAATGAAAACTGAGAGTATAAAAATAAAATATTTTAAAATATTAATATTTAAATTTAAAATAAATTCTATAATGACATAAATAAAACGTGTAATATGTGTCATATTTCTTTGTAATCCCTCTAATGTCTCCTCTCCTCAGCTCTCATCATCGGCCTACAGTTCCCAGAGTTCCCTGTCGGAGGCGGGGAGAAGCCAGTGGGCGGAGCCCCCGAAGCCGTCGCCGGGGCAACGGCCCCTCCAGTCGCTCCAGCTCTGGGATCAGTACCGAGACCCCGGGACCGGACGCTGTTATTACATCAACACCGTAACGAAGGAGCGCTCGTGGAAACCTCCCCGCCGAGCACGCGAGAGCAGCGGCAACCAGAACAAGGTGAGCGACCAATCAGATCCCGGAACCACACGGCTTATTCATACATGTATATATATATATATATATGAAGAGTTCAGATGCAAAAGCCTCTAAATGCCATTTGAAATTTTCTTCTTTAATGATGATTTTTAGCAATCTTGTATATTTAAGTTCAGTAATTTCACTTAAATAACAATTAATAGGTAATTATCATTTCCATTTAAGTGAAATTACTGAACTTAAATATACAAGCTTGATAAAAATCATCATTAAAGAAGAAAATTTCAAATGGCATTTAGAGGCTTTTGCATCTAAACTCTTCATATATATATATATATATACACACACACACATATATACATAATTATTTTTTCATCCATTGCACACTTCACTCTCAGACATCCATTGTAAGCTGACCTCTTGTGTAAAAATAATGATATAACATGATATTTCATGACTCTAGAATGGCCTTATAGCTCTATATGAAGCGGAGGAGCTGCTCCGCTGGATCATAAAGCCAGTTACGAACCTACATCTTTATTTTTGGTAAAGTTTAAGCATATTTAGTTTGAATTAGGGTTTTTTCTATGTGTACTGAAGCATTCCTCGCATACCATTAATTTCTAACGGGGTCAAATTGACCTGATTTGTTACTTTTTAAAATTTCAAACACAAAAGTCCTCGAATCTATTACTTTTTTGCGACAAGTGCGACAAAAGTCCTGGGGTCTTTGACTTTGGGTAATTGAAATGACTTTAGAGAGGGATGAGAGTTTTATATATCTCACTTCTAATGCATCTTCCTGTGTGTGTCTCTTGTGTTCGTAGGTTAATGCGGTTCATCATGACCTCAGGCACCTCTCGCTCCCCTTACAGAACTCAGGAACCAGCTCTATGGACAGGGTACGACAGAAATCATAAAAATTATACATTATAACCACACAAGTTCAGTTGGTTCAGGCGATTATGGTTTTATGTAATGATATGAAAGCGATAAACATCTGCTTTTTGGTCTTTTACAGTTTCAGGCTCTTCTAGAACATGAATGTTGATTATTTTCCTCATATATTATATTATATCATTATACTCTTAATATTCTTCAATATTTAATGCATATTTTAATAAATCTGGCACGTTTTTATGACAGCCACCATTTAAATGTTTATATTTCATATAATCTTCTTATCATAAAAATAAATAAAAGTGTAATTTAAGTGTTTGTATAGCTACAAAACAGTTGATTATTACCTTCATATTAGGCTAATGAAGTCTATAGGCTACAACTAGACTCCCATAGTTTACAGCATTAGTTAAGAGATTTGATTTCCTTGAGAAAAATTGCCATTTATTGTAACTGATATCCAAAATAATCAATATCGAATCAAATCGGAATCAAAATCGAATCGAATTGTGAAATTTGTGTCAATAATACCCAGCCCTAATATATATATATTAATATATGTATATATATATATATATATATATATATATAGTGTGTGTGTTAGGAACAGGACACTGAGTTGTAATTGTGATTCTCCGCTGTAAACCGTTTACAGTCCGACAAACTCAACACTCAAATCTGTTCATAGAGACTTAAAATAAATAAGCATCAGCGAGTTTAATCCCCTTTTTCATTTGGCCGTGTTTCCTTTCTAATCCCTGACATGAGCAGATTCTCCTGCACCGGCGGCTCGTGTGTGTGTGTGTGTGTGATGAAGTTTCTAATGTGTTTTTCTAATGCTCTGTGTTCTATAATCTCTGAGTTTGAATATCAGTAATGGACTTCCTATAGATATTAGAGCATTAAAGAGAACAAATTGTGTTTTGTTTTCTCTCCACGTTCATCCGTCTTTAGTGTGTGTGTGTGTGTGTGTGTGTGTTGCTGTTTGATCATGAAAAGCTCCAGTTCTCCTCTTTATCAGAGTCAGTGTTCCTGAACACTACATAGAATCAGGAGTATCGGTATCAGCAGTTATAATGGCCGATAAATTAATATTTCAAAAATAAAATAAAAACGGACGAATCACGCAGCTTATAACCATAAGGCAATGTAGGGGCTAATTATTATTTTATTTATCAGAACTTTAATATATTTTGATGTTCCTCTGTTCTGTTGTGACAATCGAAACAAGATTCTTTTTAAAATGCATTATGCTATTATTTTAGTTAAAATTCATAAATAACTACAAATAACTAATGTTAGGGAAATCGGTCAATATTTTGTTGTGCGTTTCTGAAATAATAATATCGGCCGATATATCGGATTTTAAAACAAATATTTGTATCGGTATCGGCCTTCGAAATCCTTTATCGGTCGGGCTCTACTGTGAACTAATGCCTAATGTTGCTGTGGGGCGTGAGACTATCGTTTTCTTCTTTCTCCAAGCGGGAAATAAAAGCTTTTCTGTGATTGGTCAGGTTTCGCTGTCTTTTTGTTTACTGTATTTCGATTTACAGTAAATGGAAAATACTGTATTTCAGTGCCGCCAAGGGGATATTTCCCACAATGCAACTTTAAAATACAGTAACATGCTGTATAACTGTCCTACAGTTAAATACAGTCCATTTTACAGTTAAATCAATTAAAAAAAGTTCCACATTGGTAAAAAGGACAAAAATGTCATAAAAATGTGACGCTTTGCAGCACAGACTTAAGTTTGGTATCATTTTAAAGAAGACCCTTTGCAGATTATTGCTGAAGTAAAACAATAATAATAAGTAAATAAAAAAAAAAGTTATATAAGTTTATGAAAATTATTTATAAAAAATATTTTATATAAAATATATATAAATTAGGTTGAACTCAAAACTGCAATAAAATCAAAGCCGTAAATCTAAATAGGTTGTGTTCCAAATTTGAGGATGATATCTCAAAAAAATGAGCTTTGGGTAACAGTTTGTTTGGGTGTAGTAACATATTTTCCCCATTGGGTGGCAGCAAAACCCCACTGGAGCTCACAGTGATTGGATTTGAGTTTGCAGTTTTTCTCTCTCAGTATTATAAACACACACACACACACATACTAACCACACTCTGACATCCATACCAACACACCCACACAAATATTGTTGCATAATTTATCCAGTTGGCTCTATAGTATGCCGAAGCAGAAAACAGGAATAAAGCGATATTTGTTTTATAGGCCAAACTTAAAAAAAAAAAAATGGCACCATCTGATAAAAAAATTGTAAAAAATAAAATTTCGAAGCCTTGCCATCAGAATGAAAGCCTTGCATACAAAGATTGCATAATTTTATAGTTAACTGAACCGGGGATTAAAAAAAGGCAGTTTTCAATGAGGACATTTTTGTCCAAAAGGTGCTGAGAGGGAGTATTTCTTGTACCTAATGCAAAAAATATTTTTTTAAGAAAATGACAATAAAAATGTAAAATTCCAATAAAAATACACACCTGTGGCAAGTTTTTTTGCAGTTAGCTTTAACACAGGCAAAGTGATTTAACAAAAAACACACTGAAAAGGACAAAAATGTCCATAAGGATGCACAAGGGTTAAATACTGTGAAATTCAACAGAGACGCGTTATAATACACTCTGATCAACATGACATTAATTGAACATAATCATTTGCATGATGTACCAAACTTGTTCACAGAAATGAGAAAGTGTGTTTGTGATGTGCACGAGTGACGATGATGTGAAGATTGAACTGGCGTTTGGAGGATTTCAATTCTGATCTGAGAAATGCACCAATGTTTGTTCCTGTTCTTCTAATGGCCCGTTTCTATTGGATCCGTCAGTCAGAGTTCAGATAAAAAACAAGATGAACCTTTAATATCGAAACTTTGAGACGCGTGAATAAAGCGTATATGGTTCAGTCCATCGCTTCACGTTCTGCACATGTGAGTTTGACTTTCACACCCCTCGAAGCTCAACTTCCTCTTGGCACACAGTTCGAGTGGAGAATAGAGAGAAAATGATGTTTCTTCTTCCTCCTGTGAAGAGGAAGTTGAGCTTCAGTGTGTCGAGCCGAGCTCTGATGGACAGAATGTGTGTGAAGACGCTGGATTAAAGCTCGTCGTCGCTGGATTATAATCTCGAGATCTGATGCTCTGTAAGTTCAGAATCAAGCTTTTCATTTTCAGAGAGAAACGAGTTTCACATCTGAATGAACGGATATTTAAAAAGAAACATTTGGTCATTTTTTTCACTTGATCTTATTAGGAACAAAAGCAGATTTGAGAATGTCACACTGGATGTGTGTGTGTGTGTCCGGCTGGTCTGGTTGTGTATTAGTGTTGTGTGTGTTTCTGAGATGATCAGTTTCCACTGTTTCCTCTCCAACGCTTGCTTTCAGTCTGACTGTCTCTGACACCAACCGTTTCACTCTTTCTTTCTCTTTCAGCTCTCACCTGATCTCTCCTACATTACCCATAATGCCAATGGCTGGCAGCTGAGTCAGGTGATCATCCGTCTATCTGTCTATCTGTCCGTCTATCCGTCTATCCGTCTATCCATCTATCCATCTATCTATCTGTCTATCTATCTATCTGTCTATCCGTCTATCTATCTATCTATCTATCTATCTATCTATCTATCTATCTATCTATCTATCTATCTATCTATCGTCTATCTATCTATCCATCTATCTGTCTATCCATCTATCCATCTATCCGTCTATCTATCTATCTATCCATCTATCTGTCTATCTATCTATCCATCTATCGTCTATCTATCTATCTATCCATCTATCTGTCTATCCGTCTATCCATCCATCCATCTTTCCATCCATCTATCTGTCTATCTGTCTATCTATCTATCTATCTATCTATCCATCTATCCGTCTATCTATCTATCCATCTATCCATCTATCCATCTATCCGTCTATCCATCTATCTATCTATCTATCTATCTATCCATCCATCTTTCCATCCATCTATCTGTCTATCTATCTATCTATCTATCTATCTATCTATCTATCTATCTATCTATCTATCTATCCATCCATCCATCTTTCCATCCATCTGTCTATCTATCTATCTATCCATCTATCCGTCTATCCGTCTATCCGTCTATCCATCTATCTATCTATCTATCCGTCTATCGATCTATCCGTCTATCCATCTATCTATCCATCTATCCATCTATCCATCTATCTATCTATCTATCTATTTATCTATCCATCTATCCATTTATCAATCTATCCGTCTATCTATCTATCTATCCATCTATCTATCCATCTATCCATCTATCAATCTATCCGTCTATCTATCTGTCTATCCGTCTGTCTATCCATCTATCGTCTATCTATCTATCCATCCATCTTTCCATCCATCTATCTATCTATCTATCTATCTATCTATCTATCTATCTATCTATCTATCCATCCATCTTTCTGTCTATCTATCTATCTGTCCATCCATCCATCTGTCCATCCATCCATCTATCTATCTATCCATCTGTTTCTATCTATTTTTTTCCTCTTTATTTACATTTTGTATATACCATATGTGCATATTCATGTTCCAATTTCATGTAATTCTGACATTTTCAAGTTAAAATAAATAAATAAATAAATATTTAAAAAATCTCCTTTTCTGGCTCTATCAAAAACAACCAACACAATAGTATTTTACATGTTTACATTAACAATGCATTTAATGCTATATTTATTGAACCGAACTACTAATGAGAATAATTTAGTGTTTTTAAGTGATTTATGGCACTATATGACCCGTAAGAATGCTCTAACAATGTTCAGATTCTGTGAATATTTTCTTTGTTCTTTCTTTCTCTTAATTATTAATAGCTTGTTTCTATCCGAACCATCAGTCAAAGTGCAGTAATTTCACTACAAAGTGCCAAACTCACAAATCGTTCAAGTCATTTAAATTTTGACTGGACGTGACAGAAAGAGGTGAACTATAAAACGAGGCATTTCCTCTTTCTTTTAATTTCCTTGTGTTTTGTGTCCTACTGACGCTGTTGGGCCCAGAATAATCCGCAGCATATGGAGGAAACACTGCGATCACATGGGGTTCAGTCTGTCGGATAAGCTGCTTTTGTGCTGTAACGGAGTTTGCTAATTGAGCGGAGTGCTCGAGGATAATCAAATTAACCTGAACATTACTGAGATGAATAAAGCGTCCGCACTGAGTCTAATGTGATTGAATCTGAAGTGAGTGAATCTAACCTGATGACTTCCTCCGGCAGAGCATGCAGAGGGCGTCGTCATCGGATGCGTTAAGCTCCGCCTCCTGCGAGGATTCACGCCGCGTCGGCTCCGCCTTGACAGGGGGCGTGGTCCACATGAGCCACTCCTACTCCATGTTCCTGCAGTCGCCGGCTCCGAGAACTGCTGCAAACGGAAAAGTAAGAGTCACTCTAGAGTAGAGGATGAAGTGATGAAATCATCAGAGGATGAGTGTATCTCTACTGTTCTTCTCCTCTCTGCAGACCGACTACAGGCTGGTGGTGGAAGCGCCTTCATCCGACAGCTCACCGGATAATGAAGGTGTAACACCGGTGAGAACACATCCATCCATTCATCATCCATTAATCATCCATCCATTCATCCATCCATTCATCCATCCATCCACATATCTATTATCTATCCATCCAAAAATCTATTCATCCATCCACTCATCCATCCATCCACATCTATCTATCTATCTATCTATCTATCTATCTATCTATCTATCTATCTATCTATCTATCTATCTATCTATCTATCCATCCATTCATCCATCCAAAAATCTATTCATCCATCCATTCATCCATCCACACATCTATGCACTCATCTATCCATCCATTCATCCATCCATCCAAAAATCTATTCATCCATCCATCTAAAAATCTATTCATCCATCCATTCATCCATCCTTCCAAAAATCTATTCATCCATCCATTTATCCATCCATTCATCCATCCATCCAAAAATCTATTCATCCATCCATTCATCCATCCACCCACACATCTATGCACTCATCTATCCATCCATTCATCCATCCATCCAAAAATCTATTCATCCATCCATCCAAAAATCTATTCATCCATTCATCCAAAAATCTATTCATCCATCCATTTATCCATCCATCCAAAAATCTATTCATCCATCCATCCATCCATCCATCCAAAAATCTATTCATCCATCCATCCATCCATCCATCCAAAAATCTATTCATCCATCCATCCAAAAATCTATTCATCCATCCATCCATCCAAAAATCTATTCATCCATCCATCCAAAAATCTATTCATCCATCCATCCATCCATCCATCTATAAATCTATTCATCCATCCACTCATCCATCCATCCACATCTATCTATCTATCTATCTATCTATCTATCTATCTATCTATCTATCTATCTATCTATCTATCTATCTATCTATCTATCTATCTATCTATCTATCTATCTATCTATCTATCTACAGTATCTATCTATCTATCTATCTATCTATCTATCAATTATCCATCCATCCATAATAACACACACAAATTGTGAGATTTAAACTAGTAATTGCCAAATTGTGAGATATTTCCAATTGTGATTAAATTTATAAAGTCTGAATGAGATTTTTTTTTAATTCCGTTGCGGAAACAAGCTTCCATAATATAAAAATATACACACACACATACATAATTCATAATGAGTTATTCATCTGCTCTTTTCAGATGGGTAGATGCACACATAAAACTGTTTAAGCCAAACTAATTCTGATGATGTCATTCTAAACCCATTTACAGCAAAAACTTTCACTGAACACAAACAAACACACACACACACGATACACACTGACCGACTGTATTATGACAGGAACTGGAAAAGGCCGGTCTGCTCAACAAAACCAAGATAGCAGAAGGAGGCAGGAAACTGAGGTGAGCTTATCTTAACACACACACCTTGATCTACTGCATGCAAACACACACACACACACACACACACACCTTGATCTACTGCATGCAAACATGCAAACACACACACACACACACACACACACACACACCTTGATCTTCTAAACGCAATAACACACACCTTGAGTTACAACCCGGAAACACACACAGACACACACACTGAGATGCATCATGCAAACACACACACTCTCAAATGAATAATATGAGTTACTTTAGAAAAGGTGGCTCTAGATTACAGGCAGAACTCGGCTTGTGCTGCAAAATAAAGCTTTATCGTCAGAAGTTTTGTCGTGTTTTCCGTGAGAAGAAAAATTGCAAAAGACATGAAGACTTTTCCAGAGAATACGTTAAACAAATGTTAAACAGAGTGTGTTTTATGTACCAAAATCTATTGCAGTGAAGATTATGCTGGTTAATGTTAACCATTTTTTTTAATTACTAACATTTTGGAGACATTTAGGAAATAATAAATGACAATAACGAAGCGATTTTTCCCCCATTGACCTAAATGGGGTCTCTTTGCCCAATTTTCTCGACTTGAAATGACAAAAAAAATGAATTATTTCGGGTTATTTTCTGTGTTTGCAGGAAGAACTGGAACCCTTCATGGGTGGTGCTGGTGGGAAACAGTCTCGTGTTCTTCAAAGACCCTAAAAGCCAAAATCCTGACAGCTGGGTGAGACTAACAGGGAACATCATGGAGGCATTTCTGTCTAACAAAAAAAGTCCAATATTGCTGAGTGTGTGTGTGTGTGTGTGTGTGTTTGGATGCAGAAACCGGGTAACAGCCGCCCAGAGAGCAGTGTGGACCTGAGAGGAGCTCAGCTTCAGTGGGCCAACGATCTGTCCAGCAAAAAAAACGTCTTCAAGGTGAGAAAGAGACAGAAACGAGATCAAATGTAGACTTTTTAATAAAAGTAATGATTAGTTCAAAGGAAAGAAATATTAGTACTAAAATCTGCAGTCAGATATCAAGCAGTTTTATTTCTCTAAAGGAACGAGACACAGATTTAAGAGTCGTACTGAGTGAGCTGCTAACAGCGTGTGTTTATAATTCAGTTCCTCATTAACTTCCTCTGATATAAATTTGAATGTTGCTAGAGCTGAACAGAACAATACTTCATGTGTGTGTGTGTGTGTGAAGCTGAGGACGATTACGGGAAATGAGTTCTTGCTGCAGTCGGAGACGGACTCTCTCATTAGAGAATGGTACAGAACCATCCAGAACGTCATCGACAGACTGGTGAGTGACACACACACACACACTTTAGTCACTCCAGATTGTTCGAGATTACAGTGTGCTTCTTCTTCATCAGTTTTGTCGTGTTTTCCAGTTAAATATTTTCAACATCTTTAAAACAAGATCAATTTACGTGAGCATTGAATGAAGACGTATAAGAGAACATGTTAAACAGAGTGCGTTTTATGTACCAAATGGGCTCATGTTTGTGTGGGTGTGTGAGAGAGAGAGAGAGAGAGAGAGAAGTCAAAGACAAACACACACACACAGTTCAAAAGTTCGGAGTTTTTGGTAAACTTTTTTTTCAATGTGTTTGAAAGAGTCTCTTCTGCTCACCAAGGCTGCAGTTATGATCAAAAACACAGTAAAAATTGTGAAATATTATTCTAATGTAAATCATCTGTGAATATATAGTAAAGTGTAATTTATTCCTGTGATTTTCAGCATCATTACTCCAGTCTTCAGTGTCACATGATCCTTCAGAAATCACTCTAATATGAGGATCTGATGATCAAGACACATTTATGATTATTATCAGTGTTGAAAACACTTTGATCATTTTTTGAGACGTTTTATTCGTCAGGATTCTTTGATGAATAGAAAGTTCAAAAGAACAGTGTTTATTTGAAACAGAATATTTTGTAACATTATAAACGTTTGAGCATCTGTCACTTTTGATCAATTTAATGCCCCCTTGATGAACGGATATTATTATTTCTTTCAAAGTAGAGCCAGACCAATATATCGGCAGACCGATATTATCGGCCGATATCAGGCATTTTCCAAACTATCGGTATCGGCAGTTTTAGAGAGCCTAAGTCCCGCCCCTCCACTTCCGGCTCATGGGACCTTATTTCGGAAAAAATATGTATGGTAATCAATGGCGAGAGACAACTTATCTCTTTATTCCGTCTGAACTGCGTTCTCAATTACATTATATGATGTTTGTCCATTTAAAAGATAATTCTGAAAGTCAAAAACGTCGCAGTTTGTCATAAAACAGAAGAGTAACATTTCGTTTTATGTGAATATCGCTCAATGAACTACATCTCCCAGAAGCGAAACAACGAGTGAGATCCGCTGCTCGTGTGTGTGCAGTCTGGTTCAAAACACTCGGGTATGACGGCGTAACGTTACGATTATAATGTAGGACTGTAGAAACAATGACAGACGTTAGCCTCAGTAAAGTTAGCTTCATTCATTGAGAGAAAATGTGCGCCTTTGGGGTTTGTAGTCTTTGTAATTACGTATTTTCACAGTCTTATACCTCAACGGTTTTACATCAAACTGCGACTTTCTTTACTTTAAAATGCATCTTTTAAATTGACAAACATCATATGTGTAATTCAGGGCATAATTCAAACCAGATCAAAATATTTGTTGTCTCTCGCCATCGACTACCATTCAATATTTTTCCGAAATAACGTCCCATGGTGGTCGACCGGAAGGGGAGGGACTTAGGCTCTCTATAATGGCCGATAAATGAATATTTCAAAAATAAAATGAAAAAATAAAATAAAAACGGATGAAACACGTTTGAACCATGTCATGAGTGTTGGAGTTGTATAGTTTGTCCACCAGAGGGCACTCTACAGCGTTCCTGTTGGCAACACTCATTGAGTTGGTCACGAGACATACATTGCTTGAATAACAATTAAAAGAACATAAGCATGACAAAATTTGTGACTATAAAATAAATAAATAAAATATCGGCCGATATATCGGATTTTAAAACCCAAAAATATTTGTATCGGCCTTCAAAATCCTTTATCGGTCGGGCTCTATTTCAAAGCCTCGGATCGCGTGTGTTTCAGGATAAGGAGAACCCTCTGGATAATGTCCTGCTGTATTCCCTGAGGAGAGCCGGCTCGGTGGAGATGCTGGAGCAGAGCGGAGACGAGGACGAGAACCGCGGAGGGGTCAAGGCGTCGCGTACGTCTCCAACATCAACTAACTCGCGCACACACTCACTCGCACGCAAGCGCACACACTGCAGGGTTCGTACAAGGTGCTTAAAGTGCTTGAATTTGACGTTTTGAAATGTAAGTCGTGGAAAACTCTTGAAAACGGACATATTTATGAAGCGCTTGAATTATTGAAAGACAATATATGCGAAAATAGTGTTTCATTTTATTGATTAAACAATCGTTTCACACTAAATCAACACTGGAGCCTGTCTGATATAGAGGCACGGCTGTGAGCGCGAGACAGCTGTGTGATTTTTACCCCCATCTAGTGGTGAAAAGATATATGAACATCCAGTGAATATTAGTTTCTGTTCCTCTCAATTCCGATTTCGTTTTAACTCCTACGGTGGCCAATGTAGTCCAAGATTAACATGGCTTCCAGTTCGACCTCGTCCATGAAACGTAAACGCGAAAGGCGAAGCTTGAATTAACGTGTATGTCCCTCTTTGGCTAATGTACTTTCAAGATGGAGGCGACCGACATTAGAACCCCTTACCCGTATGTGTTTTCAATGGCATATTAAACTCTCACGAGAATAGTTTATTACTTGAACGAAGTAAATATACATTCATAGACATATACACTAGACGTCACCTTGGCTACGGCAGTTCATTGGAACGAATGCGTCAATAGAGCCGCCATCTTGAAACAGGGGAGCCCCTCCACTTTAATGCATCAGCGTCAATGTAGTAGACACAGGTCTAACGGAAATAAAAATCACCATAAATCGTCATGAATGCGATTTTTCTTGTTTTTTTGGTTTGTTCCAACGGTCAGACATGTATTTATCTATAGAATATATGAAGAGTTCAGATGCAAAAGCCTCTAAGTGCCATTTGAAATTTTCTTCTTTAATGATGATTTTTATCAAGCTTGTATATTTAAGTTCAGTGATTTCACTTAAATGGCAATGATAATTACCTATTAATAGTTATTTAAGTGAAATTACTGAACTTAAATATACAAGTTTGATAAAAATCATCATTAAAGAAGAAAATTTCAAATGGCATTTAGAGGCTTTTGCATCTGAACTCTTCATATTATTTATTTATTTTATAGAAAGAAATTTTTTTATTTTTTTTTATTTAAACATTCTTCCTAGTTCAGATTTCATCTGTGAACATCATACGCTCCACAAAAGTCCGCCACCATCAATGAATTCGAAGTAAAGCCAGAGATAGCAGTGTTACCTAGCTACTTCCTATGACAAGACCCCTGTTCCAAGATGGCGGCGGTTTTGACGCATGCTTAGAACCCAAGGTGAGGTCTAGTGTATATGTCTATGATATACATTAAGGAGCACGCATATTTTTGAAAGAACTAAGTGTTTTTAGCTAAGAATAAACTAAAAGAGTTACACAGTGTAGCTTTAATATCCCAATACAGCTTTTATTCTTCAACTCAATCATATACAGTAAATGAAAATATCAGTATTAATAAGGAAAGTAATATCTTTGTCATGTTATCCTTCAAATGGATGCTTAGCGTTTCACTTTATTTGTACCATTTTGTTTCATTAGTTTATTTACCGATTTACATTTTTTAGAATTTGAATGATAATAAAGACATTATTTGATAAGCGAGATCTCTGAATATAAAAAAGTAGTGCTTGAAAAGTCATTTAGCGGTGTGTGTAAACACGTACGTTGCAGTGCTGTTTCTCACACACACACACACACACACTGGACTCACAGTCTTTGTGTCCGCAGTCCCTCGTTCCTCGTCTTACATGGAGAACTCCGAACGCAAGCGTGTGAAGAGCCGCCTGAAGAAGCTGATCCTCCGCCGGCCGCCTCTGCAGACACTGCAGGAGAAAGGACTCATTAAAGGTGAACGTCCAACAAGAAGCATAGAAACATATAAAGGCCTCGTGTGTCACTTATGACGCATGAATCTGTGTGTGTGTGTTTCAGATCAGGTGTTCGGCTGTGGGCTGGAGCTTCTGTGTGACCGGGAGAAATGCACCGTTCCACAGTTCGTCAGGAAATGCACCGAAGCCGTGGAGAAGAGAGGTGATCTTTTCATTTACTCCTCGGACTCGCAAGTTTGAGCCTGACGCAGTTTTCATTTCCACGTTTAAATAGCAAATGCATTTGCGCTCAGCGAATGGGAGACGAGACTCTGATTGGATCATTGAGAGAATAGAGACAAAACACACACATCACTCATTGAGAGAATACGGACCATGATGCGCCGGGAACACCGACCGCTTTCCCTGTCGTTAAAATAGCAAACGGAGATTCAGACACACACGTGCGCTGTGCGCTTTACATTAAAGGATTAGTTCACTTTTGAAAAATCTTTTGCTGATAATTTACTCGCCCCCGTGTCATCCAAGATGTCCACGTCTTTCTTTCCTCAGTCAAAAAGAAATTAAGGTTTTTGACAAACATTCCAGGATTTTTCTCCATATAATGGACTTCAATGGGGACCAAACGGTTCAAGGTCCAAATGGGAGTTTCAGATGCAGCTTCAAAGGACTTTAAACGACACCAGACGATGAATAAGGGTCTTATCTAGCGAAACAAACTGTAACAAAAATGTAACTTTTCTAAGGACAAATGCTAGCCTTGCTCAATTCTGTGAGGCGCGTTTGCAACGTCACGTAATATATATACGTAATTACGTTCAAAAGGTCACGGGCGACGTAGCCTGAAGTACAGAATCAAAATCGTCCGACATCGTTGTTTTACCTTTTAATTCCTTTTTTTGTAAACGGCGTTTGAATTAGTTTTCACGTTCAACTTGTAAACACTGACTCTGTATTTCCGGCTATGTCGCCCGTGACCTTTTGAACGTAATTATGTATTACGTGACGTTACAAACGCGCCTCACAGAATAGAGCAAGGCTAGCATTTGTCCTTAGAAAAGTTACATTTTTGGAATAAGTTTTTAAATAACCGATCGTTTCGCATGATAAGACCCTTATTCATCGTCTGGTTTCGTTTAAAGCCCTTTGAACAGTTTGCACTGAAACTCTCTTTTGGACCTTGAACCGTTTGGTCCCCATTGAAGTCCATTATATGGAGAAAATCCTGGAATGTTTTCATCAAAAACCTTAATTTCTTTTCAACTGAGGAAAGAAAGACATGGACATCTTGGATGACATGGGGGCGAGTAAATTATCAGCAAAAGTTTTTTCAAAAGTGAACTAATCCTTTAAAATAGGGCCCAAACACTGAGGAACATATCCTGAGAGTCTTTTCTCCTCTATAATGTCGTATATGCGCTTCCGAAACGAGAACAAATGTGGGCGGAGCTTGATTGTGTCCGTGGGGAATTGATTGGATGGTTGTGGTTTGCTACTTGCTGATCTCATGTGAGTGACAGGTTATAGCCCCGCCCACATCATCAGAGAAGAGAAGCTGCGAGAGGAACTGATTCTGATTCAGGATTAATGATGATGATGTGCACCGATAAATCATTATAAAAATGGTCAATTTCGATTTCATGGTGACTTTAAACTGTTTTTCTGTTCCAGGCCTGGAATATATGGAAATAAATAAAATCTTAAAAGTGATGAAATTGACTATAATGATGAATATGCATTTTTAGGGCCCAAGCCCTGAAAGGACAAAGGCCCTATTGTTTTCCTTAGGATTATTATTATTATTTATACGACTATTCGGGCACTTTTGGGGCCCTTAACGTGCTCAAAAACTCGCGACCATCAGAACCCGCGGCCATCAGAACCGGACTGAAGATGGTACCCGGGCGTGGCAGGGGGGCTAGACAGCGACCCCTGGAACGGGGTCCGAAAACTTGGTCCATAAATCAAACACGCTTGCATGTAATAATATGAAACTCGGTACACATGTAGATCTCATTGTTTCATATATACTTCATACTATTACTTTTTACCCCAGCCCAACAGGAAGTCGGCTATTTAGGGTTGTTTGTAAAACACACGTAATGGAATATGAAATACTCCGCCAAGAGATAAATCATTAAAAAAATGGTCAATTTAGAATTCATGGTGACTTTAAACTGTTTTTCTTTTCCAGGCTTAGAATATATTTAAATAAATAAAATCTTAAAAGTGATGAAATTGACTATAATGATGAATATGCATTTTTATAGTTGTAAATTCGACTTTTGTGTGTTGAGTAAAACATGATTGCGAGTCATAGCGATGCTCGATTTATGAGTGAATCTTTCTTGTGAATCAGAATGAAGATTGGTTTTGATTCATTAGCAAATAGTTCTGAATCAAAATAAATGTATTTTTTGTTCTTATCCACTAATCTTGTCGTGTTTCTGTAGGACTGCTGTTCTATTCCTGGAAATAATGTGTGTGTGTGTGTGTGTGTGTTCAGGTTTGGAGACTGATGGGATTTACAGAGTCAGTGGGAATCTTGCCGTCATTCAGAAACTGCGATTTTCTGTCAATCATGGTGAGAGTCAATATCACATCAATATAATAACCATAACAGTCATGATACGGTTCTGTTATTCAATGCAATTAAATGCGACATGAAATCAAAAGTTAATGCATGTCCTGTCTTACTCTGAATAATCACGGACATTATTATACTATCAGTACTTGGGACATGCATTTAAACCCAAGCAATTTTTTAGTAACAAACGTTAAATAAACATCTAAATTAAATAACTTATAAAAATGCAAGAGATGCTAATTTTAAAACCCAGTTTTGTGAGATTACTATTTTTATTTTCTACAAATAAACATTAAATAAGCATCAAAATGTAACAATTTATTAAATGGAGAAAAAAAATGCAAGAGACGCAGTTAATTTGGAATTAAATTGTTGGTTTGTAGTTATCCATAAATGTACAATAGAACGAGTCATTTCTTACTAACTTTGTTAATAGTTTTAAACACTGCAATGTATACTATTTAAAAAAAAAATCAATTTATTTTGTAGAAAAAGCCCAAATGATGTCACTTCCTTTGTGTTATAATTTCAAAAGGAGTGTACCTTTTTTGTAACTGGGAGAAATTGAAATTTTCGTCGAGTTTTAATTGATTAGTTGATCAGATGTTCTCGCCTTGTCACGTATGACATCATCAGCTGGTAAAGAGTGTGTGAATGAGGTCACGTCTGTAACTCCTGTCCGTTGTTCCAGAGCGAGCAGTGACCACAGACGGACGCTATCTCTTCCCTGAGGATTTAGTGCAAGGTTTGTCTCCTGTAAACCGGAACGCTTCAGTCCTGTCAATCATGAAGCTCTCGCTGTCTGACTCGAGTCACATGACGCTTTCTGACGCTCGCTGCTTCTGTCTGACTCATATCACGTGACGCTTCTGCTTCTCGCTTGATGTTTTGCCACAAGAATTCAGAAAACGTTGATACAAGAAATATCTTTTTCTATTTTAAAGTATTCATTACATGTAATTTTGATTCAAAATCTTCTGTGCAAATCTCCTTTTCATATCACAGATAATGTAGCACTGAACCTGCAAAACTAGATGCATTATGATTTGCTTCATCACCTTCTCTTTACTTCTTCTGCAGCCCATCTTTGAGTGTGTGAGTGAGTGTGTGTGTGAATAAGTGAGTGTATGAGTGAGTGAGAGTGTGTGAGAGTGAGTGAGTGAGAGAGTGAGTGAGTGAGAGAGACAGAGAGTGTGAGTGAGTGAAAGAGAGAGTGAGAGAGTGAGTGTGAGAGTGTGAGTGAGTGAGTGAAAGAGAGAAAGAGAGTGTGAGTGAGTTAGTGAGTGAGTGAGAGAGGGAGTGAGAGTGTGAGTGAGAGAGTGAGTGTGAGAGTGTGAGTGAGTAAGAGAGTGAGTTAGTGAGTGAGAGAGGGAGTGAGAGTGTGAGTGAGAGTGTGAGTGAGAGAGTGAGTGAGTGAGTGAGTGAGTGAGTGAGTGAGAGAGGGAGTGAGAGTGTGAGTGAGAGAGTGAGTGTGAGAGTGTGAGTGAGTGAGTGAAAGAGAGAAGAGAGTGTGAGTGAGTGAGTGAAAGAGTGAGTGAGTGAGGGAGTGAGTGAGTGTGAGTGAGTGAGTGAGTGAGGGAGTGAGTGTGAGTGAGTGAGTGAGTGAGTGAGTGTGAGTGAGTGAGGGAGTGAGTGAGTGTGAGTGAGTGAGTGAAAGAGAGAAAGAGAGTGTGAGTGAGTGAGTGTGTGAGAGAGTTAGTGAGGGAGTGAGTGAGTGAGTGAGAGTGTGAGTGAGAGAGTGAGTGTGAGTGAGTGAGTGAAAGAGAGAAAGAGAGTGTGAGTGAGTGAGTGAGTGAGTGAGTGTGTGAGTGTGTGAGAGTTAGTGAGGGAGCGAGTGAGGGAGTGAGAGTGTGAGTGAGAGAGTGAGTGAGTGAAAGAGAGAAAGAGAGTGTGAGTGAGTGAGAGTTAGTGAGGGAGTGAGAGAGTGAGAGTGAGTGAGTGAAAGAGAGAAAGAGAGTGTGAGTGAGTGAGAGTTAGTGAGGGAGTGAGAGAGTGAGAGTGAGTGAGTGAAAGAGAGAAAGAGAGTGTGAGTGAGTGAGAGTTAGTGAGGGAGTGAGAGAGTGAGAGTGAGTGAGTGAAAGAGAGAAAGAGAGTGTGAGTGAGTGAGAGTTAGTGAGGGAGTGAGTGAGTGAGAGTGAGTGAGTGAAAGAGAGAAAGAGAGTGTGAGTAAGTGAGAGTGTGAGAGAGTTAGAGAGGGAGTGAGTGAGTGAGTGAGAGTGTGAGTGAGAGAGTGAGTGTGAGTGAGTGAGTGAAGAGAGAAAGAGAGTGTGAGTGAGTGAGTGAGTGAGTGAGTGTGTGAGAGTTAGTGAGGGAGCGAGTGAGGGAGTGAGAGTGTGAGTGAGAGAGTGAGTGAGTGAAAGAGAGAAAGAGAGTGTGAGTGAGTGAGAGTTAGTGAGGGAGTGAGAGAGTGAGAGTGAGTGAGTGAAAGAGAGAAAGAGAGTGTGAGTGAGTGAGAGTTAGTGAGGGAGTGAGTGAGTGAAAGAGAGAAAGAGAGTGTGAGTAAGTGAGAGTGTGAGAGAGTTAGAGAGGGAGTGAGTGAGTGAGTGAGAGTGTGAGTGAGTGAGTGAGTGAGTGAGTTTCAGCATTTAACACTCACTCCGTCCTCTTTCCTCCAGAGCGTCTGGATCTGGACGACCCGCAGTGGGACGACATCCACGTCATCACCGGCGCACTCAAGCTGTTCTTCCGAGAGCTTCCCGAGCCGCTCATCCCGTACGGATTCTTCCACGACATCGTCGAGACCGTCAGTGAGTGACAAGGAGAAGCCAGAGAGGAAGCATGACTACTGATGATTCATTATAATAACGTTTATGCGTCTGTGTCCTGTAGAATTATCCAGTTACCCGGAGAAGGTGGAGCGACTGAAGCTCCTGGTCATCAGCATGCCTCCGCCAAACCACGACACCTTGAGTCACATGATCCGACACCTGAAACGGTACCAGCACACATTACCCACAATTCCTCCACACTCGGGGTCTGTGTTTGATGCTGTACCAACCCCGTAAGACCTTCGTTCATCTTCGGAAGATATTTCTGATTAAATCTGAGAGCTGGATCACAGCTACATACACTGATAAAAATGATTTTGTGGTGAAGTAAATACTACAGAAAAAAAACAATTTAATTTACATGAAAAAGGTTAGTTCAGGCAAGAATTTAAAAAAATTTGTAAATTCTATATTAGAACTCAATTAAATCGTGTAGAAATGATTGCGTGAATATCAACATTTTCTCAACTTTTCTGATACTGGTGTTCCCATCATGCACTGGGCCTAATAATTAATGAGGTTGATTTTTCAGCTGTATTTACACTATTTTATCATTACTTTTGTTGTTAGGATTAGTAATTTGCCATTTTGTGACATTCGGAGTTCATTTTCTACTTAAAATGACACATTCAAACACAAAAACGATCTATCAAATGTTACCGTCATTGTGTATTGTCTACCAAGTATTGAGGTCTGCATTCACACACGCTATATCAAAAGTGAAGACATGATGAGACACACTGCAAGTAATGATTGCTAAAAAACAGTGTGGTCTAATTCAATGTTATATTGTATGGGCGAAATGTTGTATTAAGAAAAATTAAATTAAATAGAATAGATATTACTTAATCTTTAATTAGCTAAATAAAAATGACTTAATTTCTTATGTTACCTTCACTTAACTTAGTTAAGTATAGTTTACTTAATTATGCGTGAAATTTACTCAAAAAATATCAGTGCAAAAACTTGCCTTAAAAAAATTAAGTAAATTTTAGGGAGCGAAACTTGACGGCCCAGAAAGTCATTGAAGAAAATGTTTAAATATTCCATGTGACAACAGCGGCTCAACTAAGTTTATCAAGCGACGAGAATACTTTTTGTGCGAAAAAAACAACAAAAATAACGACTTTATTCGACTATTCCTGAGACGAGAGTTCAAGAGATTTCCACAACGTACGTTCTTATTCTTCGTGGAAATCTCTCGTCTCAGGCCTGCAACGAAGAAAAGGAATAATCGAATAAAGTCCTTATTTTTGTTTTATTTTGTTTATATTTTATTGTTTTAAATGCTGTTTTTGATTTCTGTATGATTGTAACATAAACATTTGCACAAAAGCATTATTTATTCATCGTTTTTACCTGAAACGTTTTTTTTTTTAAATGTTCCTACTTGTTTCAGAACATTCAATTCCCGTAATGTTTGAAGGTTGATACAACGGGATTTTGCTCAAATGTTCACATAACCAAGAAAAAATATTTAAAAAATTGGACGTTCAGAGAACATAGTGAGTAGATTACACTTATAATGAAAATACTTGCTTGTTTTGCTGAACTTCTCACCTTTTCTGTCATTTCAAAGTAGTTTATCATTTGCAAAGCAACAAATTAATTTGATTACAATTTTCAGCCGTGACTCACTATTGATAATAACCACATAATACTTTTGGTCTTGACTGTACATCTCTTGTTTAATTATCTAAAATCAAACAATCACTCACTTTTAAGCGCTCTACTCTTCGATTCATTCATATCGAGATTCACCTTGAAATCAATTTCACCCGTAATCACGCTCTGATTGGATTAGGCAAGCTCCGCCCACTTGTCCTGCACCAATGAGAACATACACTCATTGATCTCAGCCGATCGGGAGGTTTCTCTTCTCTTTATCTGACTGTCTTTCTTCCCTTTGGTTTATGTTGTTAAAGCTGGGTCAGATATGGTGTAGTTACATTGGAAGACTGCAGGAAGTGTTTGAGACACTAGAGGGCGCCGTGTGTCTTCATCACAAACAGACTAATGAGAAATACACAAGGCTCAGATCTATTAAAGCAACATCAGTCATTTTTAAGACAGATAATATAACATGCAGGGAAATTACACTCTAAATAATAAGCGTTTTAAAGTTTTGGAGAACATTGAAATGTTACAAATGTCAGAGAATTTTTTTAAAATCCAAGTAATAAAAAAAGTTTTAAAATCCAAGTTGTTTCTCTAGCGAGGTGAAATGCATGCTGGGATGTTTCTCCAAAGAAACATATGTTTTAGACGTGATCTCATAATTGTGCTTGCAAAGTCTGTGATCAAAAGTATGAACGTCTCGTCATATTGTCCTGCATATGGTATGCAAATATCGCTGTTAAATGTATATTTATTTTTGAAAAATTTGAATATTTTGCAAATGTTCATGTATTTCAGCAATTCAACTTAAAAGGTGAAACTAATATATTATATAGACTCATTACATGCAAAGTGAGATATTTCAAGCCTTTATTTGTTATAATTTTGATGGCTTACAGATATAAAAAACCTTTTCACAATATTACTGATTTTGAATTTGGGTTTTTTATGCTGCAAACCATAATCGTCAATATTATAACAAATAGAAGTTTGAAATATCTCACTTTGCATGTAATGAGTCTATATATTAGTTTCACCTTTTAAGTTGATTTACTGAAATAAATTAACTTTTGCACGATTTTAAATTTTTTGAGTGCGAGTGAGTGACTGTGAGTGAGTGAATGTGTGCACATAGGATTTTTTTTTTTAAAGTGTGAGATAAATTATTGCGCTAAATATAGGATTGCAAAAATATTAGACAACTAGAAATCAAGGAGAATCGCTGAGAAGAAACATCGAAGACGAATTCGCTGAACGAAGATGGCGAACGTGTTCGTGTGGTTCGGTCTCGTCTCTCCGTCGCTGTTTCTGTGTTTAAAGCTTAAAGCTGAAGTGTTTGTCTTCTTCTCCGTGTGTGTTTAGGGTGAAGGAGAGATCCGACTGCAACCGCATGACGACGCAGAACATCGGCATCGTGTTCGGGCCCACGCTCATGCGTCCGGAGAACGAGGGCGGGAACATGGCCGTCAACATGCTGTATCAGAACCAGGCCATCGAGCTGCTGCTGAGCGAGCACGAGCGCATCTTCGAGACCGCCTCGTCCTGAGAACAGCGGCACGCGGACACTTCCGGCCTCGGGACTCAGGGATCGGGAGCGCTACTCACGAGAGCTGGTTATGAATGGGTGGATCTCATGAAAACGGGTCACGTTTCAGCCAATAAAAAATAGAAACAACATGTTGCATAAAGAAAATACATTTTTAGGATCGTTGAGATATTGTTTTAATGATGACAATTAAACATTTTCAGTTTTCACCATACATTTTCAGTACATTTGCATTTTATTTTTATTTTGTACAGTATAAATTCTAATTTTTAAAAAAAAATAAAAGCAAAATTTTACATAAAGAAAATACATTTTAGGATCGTTAAGATAATATTTGAATGACAATTAAACATTTTCACCACGCATTTTCTGTATATTTACATTTTTATTTTGTACAGTACAAATTCTCAAAAAAACTAAAATTGTTTTTTTTTATTTTGTCTATAAAAAATATAAACATTTAGCATAAAGAAAAGAAATTTTAGGATTTTTAAAATAATATTTAAATGACAATTAAACATTTTCACCATACATTTTCAGTGCGTCTAGAGGTTTTTTTTTTATGTACAGTAAAAATTCTCCAAAGCTCTCTAAAGTTTTGTCTCTAAAAATAATATAAGCACAATTTTGCATAAATAATTTTTTTAGGATCGTTAAGATAATATTTGATTACATTTTTATTTTGTACAGTAGAAATTCTCAACAAAAAAAAAATTCTGTAAAAACTATAAACAAAATTTTTCGTAAAGAATGTGAATGATTTTTTAGGATTGATAGGATATAATTTTTAATGACAATTTCAAAAAAGATTTCCGGTGCATCCAGATGTTTTTGTTTTTTTTTGTACAGTAAAAATTCTCCAAAGCTTTTCAAAGTGTTGTCTCTAAAATAATTCTCAATTGCATAAAGAAAATGATCGTTAAGATAATATTTAAATGACATCATCCAGGTGTGTTTAAAAAAAATGTACAGTGAAAATTCTCCAAAGCTCTGTAAAGTTTTGTCTAAAAAATATTTACAAAAAAATGTATAAAGAAAATGAATTTTTAGGATCGTTATGATATACATTATACATTTCAAGTGCTTCCAGATGTTTTTATTTTTTTGTTTTTGTACAGTACAAATTCTTCAAAGTTCTCTTAGTCTTCTCTAAAATTAAAAACAAAATTTTGCATAAAGAAAAGGAGGATAGACATGAAGACATGGTTCTTTCAAATATACAAAATTTAATTTTATTTAACATACATTTTATTATTATTATTATTATTGTTTTATATAGAATTGTTCTATAGTCTGTACAGTATTTAAGGTAATTACATCAAAAGTAACAAATTAAATTACAGAAGAGTAATTCCTTTATTTTTTTTAAGGTGAAAGTAATTAAATTGCAGTAATTACTTACCAAGTAATGCATTACACCCAACACTGATAATGAGAAATAAATTATGATTTAATTAATAATAACAATATTATGCAAACATATGATGTTTTGGGTGACCTGAAAGTGACTGGTTTTGTGAGATTTACTGTGTGTGTGTGGATCCATCTTTCAACAGACTTCATCCCTAGTGCCTTTTAAGCTTTTTTATTTTAGTTTATTCTCTTCTCAGAGCTTGTGTAGCTTTAATGCACAAAGGAAAAGACTAAAAGCTTTCAAATAAAGCTGTACACGTCAGTCAATAATAATAAAGATCAGCGCAGGTCAAAAGTTCGAGTCATTTACTCGCCTTTTAATGAAGAGAAATAAAATTGGGTGCGATTCACTCCAGAATGCAACGTAATTTCCTTTACATTGTTCCAATGTGGTCTCCGAGTGTCTGTGTGAGAGATGAGGAAGCTCAGAGGTGTGTGTGAGAGGGAGAGAGAGAGTGTGTGTGTTGTGCCAGTCTCAGAGCGGGTGGAGCTCCGCTGCCATTTGTCCAAAACTCTGCTTTTAATAACAGAACAAAAGAAGAACTAAAAATGCATATGTTTAAAAAATGTCGTCCCCCCACGCCGCGGTTTGGTAATTTTATATGGACTGTGGCTTTGGCTCTTGACAAAAAGATCCAGGCTGAAGAAAAGAACCGGGAACGCTTACACACTTTTTAATGTTTGATTTTATATATTTATTCATTTTTTATTTTCTTATTATTTCAATTCCACAAGGGGCCACAAAGAAGTTTCTGGAGAAGTCCTCAAAAGCAGAAAGGACTGAAAATAATTCAGTGTTGTTGCCCTTTGAGGTCACACACTATTATTAGATGAACCTTCAAGCTTAAACTGATGATGGTTCACCCAAGAATGATCATTTACTTTCCTTAATGTCCCTCCAAAACCGGTCTGACTTCCTTCTGTGACACAAAAATGGAAAAAGAAACTGGAAATATTCTTTCAGCTTTCATCTTTATCGTATTTCCGTATACATTTGAACAGGACTGTGTAAATTGTGCTAAACATCTCTATTTGTGTTCATACAGAAGAAAGAGAGACATCAATGATGATTTGTAAGAGAACTAGTTCTTTAAAGAGGCTTGTGGACGATAGCGTGATTCATTGTCTCTCCTCGTGTTTCTGAAAACTCTACGATGTTCAGAGACTCTGAATATTTTATTTTAATGTATGAATTCTCAGTTTTGTGTGATGTTTCCTTTCGTTATGAGTCCACGATGAAGACGACTCAATCGCTGTAACTTGCTTTTTCTTCCTTTAAATTCTGTATTTCAGAATTGTGACAATAAAAACATAAAATCTACATGAAAAGACCTTCTGTTTTGATTTATTCTGGAGATAATACAGCAAGACTCATATCAGCTCATAAGGCATACATTAATAATGGTCAAAAACGAGGCGCTGGATTACGTCTAATGCAAGTATCGCTTGTTCTATAGAGGATTTATTTTAATTTCAATAAGTTTACTGCACTGTAAAAAGATTCCAGCTATTTACACTATTAACTTTTGTTAACAAAACTATGTTGCGGAAGAACGTTGTTTTGGTTGTGCTTCGGACTGTGCGGATGGATATGATTAGGCCTATAGATCCTACGGTTTATAAAACATTCACTGCTAGGCTTCAAATATATAACCAATTTCGATGGAAATTATCTCAATATGACTAGCTGAAGATGTTAATGTAGCTTTACCAATTAAAAGACACGGTACTTCCTTAAATACATTCTAGAACAGTGCTAAAACAATAATGAAATGATCTTCACAATTAACCCCGTTAGCTCGACTACATATGACAATTTATCTGTTCAATAAAACACTTTACTCACCTGTTGAAAAAGGTAAAACACCATCATCTCCCGTCGCTTTTTCAAATCCCTCAGTTCTCAGAAAAGACCAAACTGGCGCGGCCGGAACAACTTTTCTCTGTTACGGATATGACGAGACACGCACCGGTCAGTACCAGGTTTGTACCTGTACGCAATTTCCAGCGAAACATTTCTTTGTCTAAAATATAAACACTCATGCTGCGTTCCAGACGAGAATATCCCAAAAATTAAATATCCCAGTATTCAGACCTCGGAGAGTTCCAGCCAATCACACTTCACGTTATTGACCACAATGATGTCGCCACGACACGAGTCTTGTTTTTGTGTCAATTATGGTAACAACTGAATAAAAACTACATAAAATTGCTTTGAAAACAGTTGACGAAAAGCAAAAACGAAGGTATTATGTCATGTGGCTACATAAACTTTTTTTACAATGTCTCGCTGAGGTTGTGTGGTTGATCGAGGATGTAGGCTTCCCGAGTTGGCGAGTTCGCAGGTCGAATGTTCCAGTCCAGAAGTTGTTTCCAAGAACGAACGAGGATGGAAAAATCAAAATTTCGAGCTGGTAAGCATCAAAAATCCCTTTTGAAGAAGGGCCAAACTAATTATTTAAATTGTATAAATTTTGAACCAAAAAAGTTGGTGTACATTGTAAAAAAAAAATATTTGACCATTAAGTAATGACAAGATATGATTTTACATTGCTTTAACTCATCAATATAAGTTGAGCAATTTCAACTTTTTTATATAAATGATACTACAAGAATCAGCTCATTCAACAGGTCAGTTTGATGTGATTGTAATTATTTAAAAATCCAAGTTGATTGTACCTACAAATTTAATTGCTACACTTTCTACACTTCAGTTGCTCCCTTAAATTAAAGTCCCCCTGTGGTCAAAATCCAGCGTTTAATGTTGTTTATGTGTGTATGTGGTGTTTTTAATCCGCTTTAACACACACCATGTGTAAGTTCATCTTCATATATTTATTTAGGTATATATTTATTTTTAATTAAGTCAGCTTTGGGATTCCATATAAGTGGAGAGCATTGCTGGGTATTTCCTCCTTAAAACTGCACTGAATCAAACACGCTTTGAAATCGCTGTTGCTTCTGACGTCACAAACGACCTTGTAACCAATCAGATCAACGTCTGATCTCTGAGTGAGTGAGTGGAGGCGGGGCTCCTTTGCATATTCATAGAACCCCACATACTAAATGAGGCAAGGGTGTCGAGTAACAATCAATCTATTTTAAGGCATGAAGAATTTTTTTTTAGGTTTAAGGGATTCAATTATTGACTACGGGGGAACTTTAAGTAAATTAAGTATCTAATTGACTGTCAAGTCATTTCAACTTAAATTACATTAAATGACTTCAAATTGAAACTTGTATAACTTATAAAGAAAGTTGAAGTTGCTTTAATTATACTGGTGATGAGTTCATTTCTTTTGTGGCATTTCCATTGGCATCTAAACCCAGAGACCATTATAGAACTAAATGTAATAAAAATGTAAAACAACATCCGCTTGCTGACTGACTGACCGTAACCACACTTGCGAGAGTGTTTAGGTGGAGGCCTGAAATCTGTGCAGTTTTGAGTCAGGAGTGTAAACGGGACCCCCCCATTATCACGGTAAAGTGACACACACCTCAACTCTATGCCACTCATTTCATGCCATTAGAGAGAAATCATTACAGTAAAAAGAAATGACTTGTGATTTGAGTCCAGCGTGTGTTGGATTTACGATATGTGTGATGAATAATCATGACACTGCACTTTTCAGTCATTACAAATATAGTGTTTTTCTTTTATAAAGACTTTCAGAGCAAGTTTTGAAGAGCACAATAAAAACTCCAGCGACCGCTTTTTTTCAAAATATGTACAATTTTATTACAAAGATTATGTATTAACATTTCAACAAAGCTTACACATTTTGTATAAAAATAACACTGGTGAAAATACCTCCCGATTCTCGTGTGCAAGAAGCTTTTTGGTGCGTGTTTACGGGGAAACTCAGCATATATAAAGAAAAGTCCACTACGAACGAAGCACCGTTTTGCATTTTAATAGTTGAATGTTAAATTCTTAATTGCATAATTGGCAGTATGAAGCCGTCTCTGAGGTCGTATTCAGTGCAACTCAAAATACACACTTTATGCTTATTGATTCCAGCTTTCTCAAAAGGACACTTTATGATAGTATTGCAACGTGAACAGGATTTGATCAAATATTTGAAGAAGGTGAAAGTTTGAGGTTATTATCAGCCAATTTTACAGTTTTCCTGTTTAAAATCTGTGTTTAATCTTGTTGTGAGTTATAGTCCGAGATAATTATGATGTAGAAAACCATAAAAGCCTGAATGATCCGTATGCTGACCATCAACTAACCCTCCATTAACTGTGAATGCTGGTCAATATTTAATATTTCAATACCTGTGGTTGTCTCATGTAAACATTTAATGAGCAAGAGGTCATGTTTCAATCTAAAATCAAAAGGAAAAACATATATATATATATATAAAATATAAAGAAAAACGAAAATGAACCAACTTTTAGAACCATTAAGATTTTTCCATTGTGACATTTTTGTAAATTTCAGTAAGTTTTTGTAATGCAATTATTTTTTTACATTTTTATATCATTTAAGTATACAATATTTTTGCATTACAATAATAAAGTTAAAATAGTTTGATATTAATAGAATTTTTGTTACATTTTTATATCAGTACAAATACGATGTATCTTTTTTTAGGATTACAATAATAAAGATGAGTTTATATATATATATATATAGTTTGTTATAATATCAGGTTGATATAAAAAATAATAATAATAATATAATTTTCCCCTTACAGTAATGATATTTAATGCCAGTGTGAAAACTCTTGATGGTCCTAAAAACAGGCATAATTTTTAATGCAACATATAACTTCATATTAAATTGAATTTGGTGCAAAAATGAGCCATTCTCGTCCGTCTTTCTCAGATCATTATTCCTGGAGTGTGTTTAGCACACTGGAGTGATTTCAGCTCTGGATTGTGGCGATGAATCGAGTCTTTGGAGATGCGTGTGTGTGTGTGTGTGTGGGTTTATATGTTTGTCTTTGGTCGCTTTGAACACTACAGAGGACGCGAGTGTGTGTTTTCCACGTCTCACTCCGTCATGTGTTGATGTTTCTCACTTGCGGAGGGTTTTTCTTCCTCTCGGTCTCCATCATAGCTGTGGTTTCTGAGGGAGTTTTCCTCTTCCTCCTCGTCCTCCTCGTCTCTGAACTCCAGCGCCGTTCCCTCCATGCTGGAGTCGCTGAGGAAAGCGGGCCCCTCGGACCCCTCGGGGGCGGCCCCGTCCGGGTCACTGTCCCGACTGCAGAAGGCGTAGCGGTGGTTCATGTGCTGAGAGTACGAGCCCGAGTGAGAGAAGCGTTTGCCACACTTGTCGCACTGATACGGTTTTTCTCCCGAGTGCAAACGACTGTGTTCGATTAAATGATGCTTGTGTTTAAAGGCCTTCTTACAGGTCTGACACTCGTGAGGACGCTTTCCTACAGGAGCAGAAAGGGAAGTTAGACTCTCAATAAATATATATTTATACGGTATAGAATTTTTAAGTATTGTGTATATAAATACTTTAGAAAACTATATACTGTTACTGTATATATATACATACACCAAATTATCATACAATACTTTAAAAATATATGATATTTTAAAAATCACATATATAAATGGAAAATTTAATATATTTATTATATTATATATTACTGAATATATATTTCAGATAAAAATAATATATATACAATTTAAGATAGAATTTAAGAATTTAACAGTCATATATACACTTCAAAATTCTATATGTATGTTTTATACATACTGTATATTACTAAGTATTTTTATATGTATTTATACTTATATATTTGATATGCTTAAAATGAGTAATATACATATAATAATTTAAGTTTATATATATATAAATCTACTTAAGAATACAGTATTTTTTTTACTTAAAGTTTTGTATATTGTAAAGTGTTATATATATATCAAATATATAAATATTATATAAAATATAAATAAATACAATATATTTTATATATGTATCTGTGGCTTTCTCTGAATATATATATATATATATATATATATATAGTATTTTTAAAGTATTGTGTATATAAATAATTAAGAAAATTATATATATACTGTATATATATATATATATATATATACACACAAAATATCATACAATAATTAAAAAAATAGATTTTAAAAAACAAAATGTCATGTGTATATACATATATAGAAAATGTAATATATTTATTTTATTATATAATTTAATATATGATTAAATATATATTTCATATAAAAATAATATATATATAATATTGTATTGACTATATATATATACATATATATATACAGTAAATACACACTTCAAAATACTATATGTAGTATATTACTAAGTATTTTTATATGTATTTATACATTTGATATGCTTAAAATGAGTAATATAACTATAGTTTATATATATTCATTTACTCAATACTGTATTTTTTACTTAAAAGTTTTGTATATTTTTAAAGTGTTATATATATCAAATATATACAATATAAATAAATACTACATATTTTCTACTTATTTTAAGTATTATATTTAATATTTTTAAATTATACTTATGTATATAAATACTATGCACAAGTTTTTTACTTATACTGTAAATATATAATAATTGACAGTATATAATTAATTTTTGACGATGAGTTCCTCCTCATCGACATTCATTGTTTGATTTGATCGCGAGAGCCGCAGATTCTGCTAAATGGAATGGAATGATATGGAAGCGGCGGATGAGATATGATATTGAGTTATGACGTCAGTACCCGTGTGCTCGTATTTATGTCGCAGGAGAGAGCTGCTCTTCTGGAAGGTTTTTTCACAGATATCGCAGGCGTACAATCCTTCCTCAGTCTTCCTCAGCCTCTTCCTCCCGGAGCCGATCTCTCCATCCATCCCGTCCTCCATCAGAGACAGGAACTCGGGAACGCCACGGCTCACGGCTTCAGTCTGGACCGACACAGGGAAAGCCAGGTTATTATCAAGCTCAGAGGAATCATTCATTTCTATTTTAATAAAATATAGATTTCAGGACACTTTTTTTTGCAATCCACTCAACACTAAATATGACAATTTTAGTGCAACATATACAGGCGAAACTGGAAAAATTAGAATATTGTGCAAAAGTTCATTTATTTCAGTAATTCAACAGTTTTTTTTTTTTTCACTGGTCAATTTTGAGATTTTGGGATATTTGTATTCAATAACATGTCATCTTTCAGACTTGAGCTGGAAAAAGTCCAAAATACACAATTAGTTCTTTATTTTACTACACTTTGTCTGTTTGCGTGTGTAGATTTCGCCTAAATTCCTCAAAAGTTGGCATTGTAAATCATCCCGTCATCACACACACCGTTAGAAAGCTCTCTCTCCAATTTAATGCCGTCGGATCCAAATATGGTCATTTCCTGTTTATCAGCAACCAATCATGAAAGTAAAATGGGCCATTTAACTCGAAATCCCATAAAAATCTTTAAAGGCCGTTTTCTCCAAATGAGTTTTTTCTCACACTTCTAGTGAGGATTTTCCACTTGTGTAGCACCAACACACACCAAACTTTACAGCCGTAGTCCTAACTATATTGTGAAGGTTTGTTCGGAGGGATTTGTTGATATATCATTCTTGGCCTGATTTATATGACATTTTATGCCTAAAAATAGGGCGGAAATCTATTTTTTAAGGCCATTGGCAGTATTTTCTGATTTCCAGGGTAACAAAGGAAGATATTCATAAACCACTCTGAAAATGTATTTTCATTGAATATATCAACAAAATGCAAACATAATTTTGAACCTTGTTTTTTTCAATGGTCAGATTCATCACTTCAAAAATATATGCAAATTAGTGCATATTTAATTAGATATAGCCTGATTAGAATATTTAAACGTAAAATTACAGAAAACTTGCAATACATTTTTTTCTCCTATTTATGCGAGTAATCAACTGGTAAAGTTTCATGGTGACATCTATAAGTTAAAATTTTTATCCTATTCACCTGCAGTGTCTCGCCTTAAAAGGTGAAACTAATATTACATGCATTTTCTTTTTTTTCATTTTTATTTTTTCATATTCTATCTTTTCATATTTCAAGCCTTTATTTGTTATAATTGTGATGATTATGATATATTATATATATTATTTTATATATTCTAGCTTATGAAAACCCCAAATTCAAAATTAGAGTATTGTGAAAGTTTTTCTTTTCTGTAATCCATACTCATCACAACTATAACAAATAAAGGCTTGAAATATCTCACTTTGCATGTAATGAGTCAATATAATATATTAGTTTCAGCTTTTAAGTTGAATTACTGAAATAAATGAACTTTTGCACCATATTCTCATTTTCACAGTTTCACCTGTACGCAGATGCAGAGTGTGTTCATTTATTGATATGCTCGCTCCAATAAGACTAGATGACATTTGTTTCTATATTTGACATGTGAAGTGTCTGAGTGATGAGTGATGATGAGATCAGTGTGCGGCGTGTGGAAACGAACACGCTCTTGGTGCCCTTTGACATCATGAGGGGAATTTCCCTCGCGCGCGGCTTTGTTTACAGCGCTAGCAGAGGAAACATGTTCACCAAAACTGCAAGACCAGAGGAGAGCGGCCATGCAACTGAGTGTGTGTGTGTGTGAGTGAGTGAGCGAGCATTTTTTGTGTGTGTAAATGTTTCATATTCTCCTTTTATGACTAAGAGTGTAAAATCAGTCTTTCTCATTCTAATATCATTTCATTTGATTTTTGAGTACTAGTATTTTCAAAGGAAATTGAATAAATCTGATATTATGTAAATTAACACACACACACACACATAATTAATTATCAATTTTGAATTAATTTTTATTTGTGGCATTTGCTAATTTAATGAAATATGTTACAAATAATAAATACTGATTGTTGTTATGTTCAAATACTACAGAAATCTTTTATTGCTTTTAGTCCATTTCTGACGGGTTTATGACCGTCTGGATGCGAGTGCACATATTTTTATATCCAGCTCTAATCTGCTAAATGCAACTATAAGGCATGAAGATATTAAGATATGATATAAACATGAACTACTTTTAATAAATGTATACTATAAAAAGAGCTATACAAACAATGTCAGCCATGAAAATAAACCGAAAAATAGTTCTTGCACTCAAGGGTGTATTATTGTTCACTCTGATGCAAATCAAAGGCTATTGGGTATTTTATAAAATTAATAATAACGTCAATATGTTCCCCCCCCCAACTTCCTGTTTCAACAGAGTCCCCTCAGGACAGGAAATATGCTTGTCACGCCATTACATTACATTACATTTATTATAGATAAATTTATATTTTATTATACATATTTAGACTACAATTTCTGTTATAATGTCATATTTTATTACTTTATTATATATATATTTAGAAAACATTTTTGTTATGATGAATATATTATTTGTATATTTTATTACACATAGAATACATTTTTGTTATGATGAATATTATAATTTTATTATGCATATTTAGAATACATTTTTAATATACTTTATTTCAGAATTTTATTATGCATATTTAGAAATACATTTTTCTTTACTGAATGTCATCAATTCATTTTTTATATTTTATTATGCATATTTAGAATATGTTTTCGTTATAACGAATACGATTTTTATTTTCACGTATTTCAAATATATTTTTGTAATACTGAATATAATATTTTTTTTACAAATTTAAACTAATATTTGGGGTGTCTGATTAAATGTGCATAACAAATCTTAAGACTTCTATGAGTGTTTGCTCTTACCATAATCGAATGTCTTTCACGCTTGATTCTCTTCAGCATTGGCTCTGGCTCCGCCTCCACCATATACGCCACAGGAGACAGGAAGCCAGGGCTTGGTGTTGGTGGCGTGAGAGGAAGTGATGTCAGCCCGTTGTGCCCTGGGATCATGTGACTGAAGAGAGGGTAGCTGCTGAACACCGTGCTGCTAAAAAGCGGCGATGGCGCATAAGCCCCGCCCACCTGCTGCTGGGAGGTCGGAGTCAATCTCTTAAACACAGTCTCGCCATCACGTCGTTCACGTTGCGGCGAGTAACCGTTACAAGTTCTGGTCTCTTGTGGCACGGCGGATGCCGAATGAGGTTTAGGGATGGATAAGTCTAAAGGTTCGCTCTGAATATGATAGGTTGGTTGTCGTGGCGATGTGTTGATTGACAGATCCAGATAAGTTGGCGAGCCATACCGGAGGTGGTTGCGTTCGGGTAACGTGGGTGACGTGGGGCTGCCTTCTTCTCCCAGCCAGTGATTGTGCGGGGAATCTTGCGCTAGTTGCAATGGTGTCGGTAAAGGCACGAGGATTTGCTGCGGGATCGAATGCCAAGACGCCGTTGATGTTTTGTTTTTCCGCGCCTCGTCTCCCACCTCCCGACGGAGCATCTCCTGAAGCAGGTGTTCGAATTTACTGCGCGACTGAAGCAACGGCAGCAACGTTGTGCCTTTAAACACACCCGTCCTCATGGCTAAATCATCCGCGGGATCCCATGTCCGGCTCAAAACGGGACCAGCGGACTCCAGCGGGAACTTTCCCCGGCTGCAGTTTCTCCCGCTGACCACAGGGGGCGACGTGGGTGATGGGAAGACGGGCGCCAAGTACGCGTGATGGGAGTGTCCGTTAAAATGAGCCGCGTTCCCGCTGAGGCACTTCTTGCTGCTGAGATGTGAACTGTAGGATCCCGAGTGACTGAAGCGCTTCTTACAGTTCGAGCACTCGTACGGCTTCTCACCTGTGGACACAGACATTCAGTCCATAACTTTATCCCTTGATAAGCAAAATTACATATTTAAATGTTTTTTCCTGTGAAAATAATTTCTTCATGCCTTAAAATAGCTTGAATGTAACTCGACACCATTGCTTGACTAAGTATAGGTGGATTCATGAATATGCAAATAAGCCCCGCCTCCACTCACTCGCCCACTCCAGCTCGGATTACGTGATCTAAGTGGAAATATCGGTTTAATTCAGCAGCCGAATATGTTTGAAACAGAAACTGATTCAGAAGAAGAAGAGAAAGAGTGAATCATAAAGGCTATTCTACAAGAATATTAATGCGCTCTGCTCATAACAGTAATTATGATTAACCGTTGGTTTACCTACGTTATAAAACATCTAGTAATCTGTTGATAATGTTACACAAAACATGTGATAGTAATGATAGGAAAAGCCCCGCCCCCTTGTGACAGGATTGGTCACATTTGAGATGGTAGGAAACTGTGTTTTTGAGACTGTCTTTGGTTCACTGCAGTTTTCAGGAGGAAATACTCAGCAATGCTGTCCACTTATCAACGCACACACGGTGTGTGTTAAAGCGGATTAAACACACTACAACAAGATTAAACACTTATTTGTTTTGTTTTTTACATAGGTGGACTTTAATTGTATTTAATTAGTGTGTTTTATTCTTATGCATGTTTTTTATCATTTTTTTTAGCTTTATTCAGCATAATAATAGTTTTAAAAGTATATGTAGAGGAATTTATTGAATCTCATGACACAAAAAGTCATAATTATGACAAAAAGTTGAAATTATAACTTTTTTACAACTAATTCATAATTTGTATATTGCGTCAACAACGTTTTTAAATAATATATGTAAATTATTATGCCATAATTATGACTTTCATGCTTATGGTTTATCAAAACGTGATTAGTTTCTGAAAGTTTTGGTTTTCTTATGTTGCATAAATTGGCTTATTTTATACCAAAACCCCCAAAAATATTTAGATTTATGTGAATAAAAAAATAAATAAATAAATATATATATATATATATATGTTCCCTAAAAAATTATGTCAAGGCAGAGAAGACGTGGTAAAATATTTATTTTCTTCATGCACAATGTAAATTTTGTGTGAAATATGACTATCCACTTTTGCAGGTTGTGTTTCTTACCACTGTGGATGCGCAGGTGCTCTTTGAGGTGATGCTTGTATTTAAAGGCCTTTCCACACTGATTACACTTGAACTTCCTGCTCTCCATACTGGGCTCAGACAAGGAGTTCTGGGACATACATGAAATCATGAGCAGTTAGCACTCGTCTACATGCGTGTCATTCGTTCTGGGGTGTGTTTCCCAAAAGCATCGTTAGCCAAAAATGGTCGCAAGTTCTGTCGTTATCAGCAGTTCAATGAGTCGTTCTGATGAGCAATCGCAAACAGCATCACAAAGTTGTGTGTTTGCACGAAAAAGAGTTTTTTGTTTGCATGACATTCTAGTTGGTTGCTGGGTGGTTGCTATGGTGTTGCTAGGTGGTTGCTAAGGTATTCTGGATGGTTAAAAGGCGGTTGCTAGGGTGTTCTGGGTGGTTGCTATCGTGTTCTGGGTTGTTGCTATGGTGTTACTAGGCGGTTGCTAGGTTTTTCTGGGTGGTTGATAAGGTGTTGCTAGGCGGTTGCTAGGGTGAACGAACAATTTGCGGTTTCGGTTGTGAAACAGTTGTGACTATAATTGATTCCTTCATACTAGTGAAGCAGCGAGTTACGTTGTCGCACAGGAAACACACCCCTGCATGTGTGTGTGTGACGTACCTTCTCGTGCGTGTGAGCGTGGAGATTTAGGTGCCGCTCCATCTGAGACCGGTACGGTGAACTGAACCCGCAGAGAGGACACACACCGTCTCCGGTGTCTCGGGCCGGGCAGAAGCTCAGGTGTTCCCCCAGAGACGCCTCGCGCTGGCAGAACGGGCACGACTGTGGCGCGTCGGGGTTTAGCGGCTCGCCGTCTGCACACCCGCAAGAGAGATCATCTGATTAATCTGATTCATGATGCATTTGTGGAAGAAAACTATTCATATTTAACATGCTATAAAGTAAAATTCTCATAGTCTCTGCTCACACCTAAAGTGCAACTCATGACGTCAGAAGTAGTGAAGTGCATCGTGGCGTAGCGTAGATATCAGCAGTGTGGCTGAAAGCTAGTTATTTTAGTTGATAAAGTTTTATGATGGATAGATGCACTTTTATGATGGACAGATGCACTTTTATGATGGATAGATGCACTTTTATGATGGACAGATGCACTTTTATGATGGATAGATGCACTTTTATGATGGACAGATGCACTTTTATGATGGACAGATGCACTTTTATGATGGATAGATGCACTTTTATGATGGATAGATGCACTTTTATGATGGATAGATGCACTTTTATGATGGACAGATGCACTTTTATGATGGATAGATGCACTTTTATGATGTACTGATGCACTTTTATGATGGATAGATGCACTTTTATGATGGACAGATGCACTTTTATGATGGATAGATGCACTTTTATGATGGACAGATGCACTTTTATGATGGACAGATGCACTTTTATGATGGATAGATGCACTTTTATGATGGATAGATGCACTTTTATGATGGACAGATGCACTTTTATGATGGATAGATGCACTTTTATGGTGATAGATGCACTTTTATGATGGATAGATGCACTTTTATGATGGATAGATGCACTTTTATGATGGACAGATGCACTTTTATGATGGATAGATGCACTTTTATGATGGATAGATGCACTTTTATGATGGACAGATGCACTTTTATGATGGATAGATGCACTTTTATGATGGACAGATGCACTTTTATGATGGACAGATGCACTTTTATGATGGATAGATGCACTTTTATGATGGACAGATGCACTTTTATGATGGATAGATGCACTTTTATGGTGATAGATGCACTTTTATGGTGGACAGATGCACTTTTATGATGGACAGATGCACTTTTATGATGGACAGATGCACTTTTATGATGGACAGATGCACTTTTATGATGGATAGATGCACTTTTATGATGGACAGATGCACTTTTATGATGGACAGATGCACTTTTATGATGGATAGATGCACTTTTATGATGGATAGATGCACTTTTATGATGGATAGATGCACTTTTATGATGGACAGATGCACTTTTATGATGGATAGATGCACTTTTATGATGGACAGATGCACTTTTATGATGGATATATGCACTTTTATGATGATAGATGCACTTTTATGATGGATAGATGCACTTTTATGATGGACAGATGCACTTTTATGATGGATAGATGCACTTTTATGATGGACAGATGCACTTTTATGATGGATAGATGCACTTTTATGATGGACAGATGCACTTTTATGATGGATATATGCACTTTTATGATGATAGATGCACTTTTATGATGGATAGATGCACTTTTATGATGGACAGATGCACTTTTATGATGGATATATGCACTTTTATGATGATAGATGCACTTTTATGATGGACAGATGCACTTTTATGATGGATAGATTCACTTTTATGATGGACAGATGCACTTTTATGATGGATAGATTCAGTTTTATGATGGACAGATGCACTTTTATGATGGACAGATGCACTTTTATGATGGACAGATGCACTTTTATGATGGACAGATGCACTTTTATGATGGATAGATGCACTTTTATGATGGACAGATGCACATTTATGATGGACAGATGCACTTTTATGATGGACAGATGCACTTTTATGATGGATAGATGCACTTTTATGATGGACAGATGCACATTTATGATGGACAGATGCACTTTTATGATGGACAGATGCACTTTTATGATGAATAGATGCACTTTTATGATGGACAGATGCACTTTTATGATGGATAGATGCACTTTTATGATGGACAGATGCACATTTATGATGGACAGATGCACTTTTATGATGGATAGATGCACTTTTATGATGGACAGATGCACTTTTATGATGGATAGATGCACTTTTATGATGGACAGATGCACTTTTATGATGGATATATGCACTTTTATGATGATAGATGCACTTTTATGATGGATAGATGCACTTTTATGATGGACAGATGCACTTTTATGATGGATATATGCACTTTTATGATGATAGATGCACTTTTATGATGGACAGATGCACTTTTATGATGGATAGATGCACTTTTATGATGGACAGATGCACTTTTATGATGGATAGATTCACTTTTATGATGGAGAGATGCACTTTTATGATGGATAGATTCAGTTTTATGATGGACAGATGCACTTTTATGATGGACAGATGCACTTTTATGATGGATAGATGCACTTTTATGATGGATAGATGCACTTTTATGATGGATAGATTCAGTTTTATGATGGACAGATGCACTTTTATGATGGATAGATTCAGTTTTATGATGGACAGATGCACTTTTATGATGGATAGATGCACTTTTATGATGGACAGATGCACTTTTATGATGGACAGATGCACTTTTATGATGGACAGATGCACTTTTATGATGGACAGATGCACTTTTATGATGGATAGATGCATTTTATGGACTTCAAAACAGAAACAGCCATTCACTGCCATTATAAAGCTTAGAAGATCCAAGATTTTCCAGGATTTAAAAAAAAAATATAACTCAGATTGAATTCGTCTGAAAGAAGAATGTCATATACACCTAGGATGACTTGAGGGTGAGTACATCATGGGCTACTTTTCATTTTTGGGTGAACTATCCTTTTAAGCTCCTTGTATGAACCCTGTATCACATGAGCTGCAGGTGATGATAGTGTACCTTTTCCCTCAGGTGAGTCGTGTTCTCCCGGAGACCAGCAAACCGGAGACATGTCGTCCTGAACGCCGTCTAAATGATACGAGTTCACGGATCCGTTGTGTTTCTGAGTGTGAATCGGACTGAGCAGGTTTGACACTTTCCTCAGCTGAACCATTGAGTCGTAATGAGGCACATCATCCATCACATGAGCGTCAGTCTCACCTGAGACACACACACACACACAGATCAACGTCAGGAATTACATCACAACAATAGGTGGAAAAGATACAGAGAACTTTCTTGATAATAGGTTTAATGACTTTTTTTGATAGCAAAAAGACCATGTAAACGCAACAAAATAACATACAACAAAATGTATAAAGTAAACAAAAGAACAGCAATAAACAATAATAATAAAGAATCAGAACATTTTCAACCAGATATCATTTCTGGGCTGACATTTTTTAACCCAGATTAAAATAATTAGGACATAAAAAGTTGACTTAATAGTAAAAATTAAAAAATGTCATAAATATTTCTGACATTTTATGTCAGATTTAACCTAGTATCTCATAGTTTCAACTTTTTCTGTCATAATTCTGACTTTTTATGTCATACTTATGATTTACCAAAGCATGTTATTTTATATATATATGCTATTTACCAAAGGATATATATATATATATATATGAAGAGTTCAGATGCAAAAGCCTCTAAATGCCATTTGAAATTTTCATCTTTAATGATGATTTTTATCAAACTTGTATATTTAAGTTCAGTAATTTTACTTAAATAACAATTAATAGGTAATTATCATTGCCATTTAAGTGAAATTACTGAACTTAAATATACAAGTTTGATAAAAATCATCATTAAAGAAGAAAATTTCAAATGGCATTTAGAGGCTTTTGCATCTGAACTCTTCATATATATATATATATTAAGGAAATGTATAAGCATTATCATATTTATTCAAAATTATTTGCAAACACATTATAAAAATAAACCCAAAAATTATACATATGTATGTATATGTATATATATATATATATATATATATATATATATATATATATATCCAAAGAGAGTATGTTTAGATATATAGTTTATTGTCTTTATATGTTTATGTTTTTAATAATCTATTATTATTATTATCATGACAGTACATTTAACCCCCTAGGAAAAAAAAACAATAAATAGCATAGCGAATAAAAATAATTCAAAAATCTGAATGTTTGTCTCACGCCGTGTTTGAGTCGCTGTGAATCGTGTGAACTCTGGCCTTTGATCTGGAGAGTTCATTCGCCTGATGTGAGCAGATCTGATGAGCGCCGCAGTTTTGAGTTTCTGCATTTCTGTCACGAATATCGCCAGAATCACGGAGGCGGTGGAAACGAGAGTCAATACAGCGATGATGATGATGATAATTACTCTTTTTTTAAATGTGTCATGTCATATCGTGATGATTACACACAGGAAGCTGACACGAATGTAGGCCATAGCTGGTCTGTGACATAGTTAAAACAATTACATTAAAAATAAAACCCAAATTATACAAACATAGTGCAGAAGATGGAGAACAACACTTACAACTGGGGTTTAATGTCACTTTAGGATTTTTGTTCAAAATACAATATATTATGATCATATATATATATATATTATTTTGCATGTTTCATTTTTCTACATAGTACAGACCCGTTCAAAGGTGAGAATAACAGTGTTTAAAATTGCCATTATATAAATTTATGTTTTTTTTTTTTTTACTTGATATTTAACTAAATTTACTAACTTTAATTAGCGAATCCTTATTGAATCGTGTAATTAGTATGTCCACTACTATTATGAAACATCCCAGACTAGTTTGCTACTTTGGTGCGTGTGTGTGGCATCTAAACGTTTGTATTATTATCTAGCATTTTAAATGTGTGTAAACAAAGTTTTGGTCCAATCAAATAATGTGTTTTCACACATGTTTAGGACTGGTCGCAGCGTTCGGGGTGTGTGTACGTACTGAACGGGCCGTGGTCGCAGCGTTCGGAGTGTGTGGTCGGGATGTTTCGGGGAGTGTTCTCCGCGTGGATCCAGTTCTCCAGAGCCGGACTCCCGGGATCCGTTCCCTCGCTCACTTTATCCTGAGCATCTGTGCTGTCCTGAACCTCCATTCCCCAAACACTGCCCTCATCCTCTCCGGCAGAACCCAGACCGCGCTCGCTCTCTCCTGCACACACACACACAACACAGCATCAGCACTACTAATACTCTAATGACACTTAGTTGACATGTAGTTGAAAAGTTACTTATAGTGTCTAAAGTGACTATCGAAATAAAGTGTAACCGTATATACTTGCCACAATATTTATTATATATATATATGTGTTTAAGAAATCAATTATTATAAATACAGTTTTTTTGGTAACACTTTACAATACGGGTGCACTAATAAGCATTAATTCATGCTTAACTAACGCACAGATAATACTGAATTAATGTGTAACTAATGATTATTTAAGCTATTCATTAATCATTACCACATTAGAAACTAATTAAGAGTATGTAGGTTAATATATTAGTTCATACATGAATTGTTTTTAATTAAATATGTAATTGTGGATTAATTCCATAATAACTAATTTTTTAACTAAAAGTGTCAATTAATATGTTAATTACCAGAATGAGCCAAAGCCTTGTATTTTAACTTCCAGATAATATGACAGGTACACTAATATGCATTAATACATGATTAATTACTTCATTGTTAGTGAAAATGCATGTGCAAATTACTACAATTACTAAATGACTAGTTAATAATGATGTGCCCCAACAAGTAAAGTCATGACAAAATGATACCTTTGCAAATCATTAGCTAGTGATTAATTAAAGCAGACAAGTGGAAGTTGAAGTGCATAGCTTTGACTAATTGTGGTAATTAACACATTCATTTACACTTTTAGTTCATAAAATATGTTATTAAGGAATAAATACACAATGACACAATGAATTAATAGCAATTCATGTATTAGTTAATCTATTAATCATATTGACTCTTTATTAGTTGCTGATGCAGTAATCATTAACTAATGGTTTAGTTCTTCATGAGTTATACATTAACTCATCATTATCTGTGCATTAGTTAAGCATGAATTAATGCATATTAGTGCACCCGTGTGGTAAAGTGTTACCGTTTTTTTTTTAGGTGTACATTTTTAAAACTCTTAGTACAAAAATCCAAAATGATGACACTTGTAACGCAGCTAGTCATTCTTTCAAAACCTGATGTTATGCTTTCAGTAAGTTGCACATGTTTTCAGTCCTCATAATCATTATTTCAAACACAAGATTATTGTAATATGTAATGAGAACATTTGGTTTAATCACTGAAACACAACAATATGATCTTCTTTCAGTTTAGTACTTTTAACAATCAGTTCATCCAACAGCAAACAATGCGAGATACATGTTTCAAATCGGCCTAAATGAATATGCTACAGTCCTATACTGTAAAAGACAGATTACACAGTTTTACTGTAACATTAGTTACAGTAAAACTGTAAGATCTTGTAAAAAAAAGCAGTAGACATTATGGAGTAGATGAAAAAGCATGACAAGTGTGAAGTTCTCAGAAACACACAAACACACACGTCTCCAGATGATTTTTATTCTGGCTAATCGCTTAAATCTTGTAAAACGTCACAAATGCACAACATGACGTTGATTAAAGGAGAACAGGCTGTGATTCACATCGGCTGGCGTTTATACTTTTATAAATACACTGGAGTGGATTGGCAGCCGCAGACTCACGACATCATCATTTTCCCCAACGGGATTCGACGGCCTGAACGCTGTTAGGATATTTGTATTTAGACACGAGATTGTTCTCCATCTCGTCACCTATTTAGTGTTTTATGTATTGTTAAAAGCGCCGTATGAGTGAGCATATCTGTGGGCGGATCGCTTTCACATCGTCAAACTGGACGTTATTCGTCACCCTTTGATGCACTTTAACTAGTAAATATGACATTTACAGTTTTTCTCGATTGTTTACACACAAATTCTGGTACTATGAGCACAACATGTAACTCATTCACCGACCCCCTGAACCAGTTCTGCTGAACTACAAGCACAAATCCTGCTTTACACTCTAAAACACACTTTTTCCAAAACATTACACACAATTCTCTGCATTTGGCACAATTTTCATGCAGAAAATCTCTTGTTTTCATGAGGAACACACACTGCCATTCAGATATTCACACTGACTCGTCACACGGGCAAACACCGTCACACAGTTTTACAATTAGCAATCAGAGCTTTAGCAGAAAACACCAAAACCGAAGAGAGGATGCAGCATAGATATTTTTTTATTTCTTTTTTTTTACTGTAACAGCATAAAAAATTCTGTTGTTTTGTATGTAGGCCACTGTATGTGCATTTTTGTGTTGGTTGGCGTGTATGAAATGTGCGATGTATCTCCCATTGATTTTGTGGGAAAAATAAAATATATTTGTTACCGTGTATTTGTGTGTTCTGGGTATAAAAACAATATTCTCAAATATTTTACAACACACTTATGTATGTAATGTCTGTAGTAAGTGTAACACTGAACAAAAGTCAGTATGAGGAATGGAGAAGAAGTGTTTTACATCATTCAGTGTTCAACTGGTTCTTATAACCTGGTTCTTGGTTTCATGTACAAATTTATATGTCGGTTGAATAACTCAGAGAATTATATAATTGTGGCTTTGACCAATATCAAATTAGCACTACACGGTATGTGTCCAAGTTATGGAAGCATTGGTATAGTTGTCTCCTTTGAAGTTTGTATTATACTGGGTGTATTGTCTTATTTGTCTGTCTTTTTTATCTGGACCGGTAAAGTTTATTATTATTATTATTATAAATGTCTGTTCATATGATGGTTTGTGTGTGTCATTTGAAAACAAAATAACATTATTAACATTGTTTTGAATGTAAAGTTTCATTTTGCACTAGAATTGAGGGGTTTTGCCGATTGTGTGTGTGTGTGTTTATATTTGTGTGTGAGTTCTGAGAGTATGAGGCACTCTTTCAGAAAATGTGTGTAAACAATCGAGAAAAACTGTAATTGTCAGTTTATTTTTGGCTATTACTCATTATTTTATTTACAATCTGATCAATGCTACACTGTACACTGGTTTAGAATTATTGTACCTGTAAACACACAGCAGTAAATGTGTGTTCAAGAAAATATCAGATTTGCATATGAAATATTGATGATTTCTGGTTTTGTGGCACTACAAATATTGATCATAAATAATTTCATTTCTGTTCAATATCAAATGCAAATGTAAAGAACTGTGTTCTAATGTCTGAGAACTAGTGTGTGTGTGTGTGTGTGTGAGTGTGTGTTTGAGAGTGTGTGTGCGCGCGTGTGTGAATAGCTTCTCAGATGATGTTTCCATCTGCAGTTTTGTTATCGGTTTTAGACCAACTGACACATAATAATAAAAAAATATGTCAAATTTTAAATTATTAACTATTAATTTAATAAATAATGAATATTTTTCCTTCCGTTCAAAGTCAAATGCAAACATAAAGAACTTGATTAATGTAAATAAAGTCCTTGTTGGCACTCACATAAAAGTATTACGAGCTGAACTTTCAAGTACACCCGCGTGTAAAAAGATTGGCATTAAAACAGCGTGTGTGTGTGTGTGTGTGTGTGTTGTGGTTGATCTTTCATCATTCCGACTGTGTTTATTAGTGTCTCTAATCAGTGGTACGGCAGGGCCGGAAGCTACAGTTTCAATTCGACTGTAATGGAACAAACAATGCATTGCTGACGCATGCAGTGTGTGTGTGTGTGTGTGTGTGTGTGTGTGTGAAGACCCACTGCATCTCATGTATGAGTAATACATGAGGTGCTCAACGTACCGTACATGTCAAACACGTGCTGTTCACACCGGTTCACTGCGGAAGCACACACACACACACACACACACACACACACACTGCATATATTGACCAGGGTCTTTCCAGTTATGACTGTGCAAAACAGGGGCGAACAAACCCGACAGCAGAGATGAGTGTCACAGCTTTCATTTCAGATCAACATATATTTGTTTGTGTGTTATATATCTATCAGCCAGTCAAAATTAGGGATGGGCAACGATTAATCGCGATTAATCGCATCCAAAATAAAAGTTTGTGTTTACGTAATATATGTGTGTGTAGTGTGTATAATTAATTTGTATATATAAATACCCACACATGCCTGTATATCTTTAAGAAAAATGTGTTATTAATATATCAAATATTTATATTTATATATAATATTAATTGTGAATAAATATATATAAAATATATACATGCACATATTTCTTAAATATATACATGCATGTGTGGGTATTTATTTATACAAATTAATTATACACACTACACACACATATATTATGTAAACACAAACTTTTATTTTGGATGCGATTAATCGCGATTAATCGTTGCCCATCCCTAACACTGTATATATATGCACATAAGTATATTATAAGTATATAATATAACTATCCACTGTTTTCCAGATATAATATGCCGGCGTATGAAACGAACAACATCTCACACTGGAGTTTGCTCTGTTGTTGTGTGTGTGTGTGTGTGTGTGGCATCAGTCTTCATTGTGGAAATGCTTTTATATTATTTAGCATTTTAGATTTGTGTAAACAAACATTTATTCTGATCAAATAATGGTTTGAGAAAGAGTTTTCACATTCGGTATACTTTATACGTATAGATTAGGGTCAAATTCTCACGATTAACTGTGACTTTTACCACAATAAACTTCTGATTACTGCTTATTAATTGTTAGTAAGGTCGTTGTTAAGTTTATGAATTATAGGATTAATGGCATTAATATGAGTGTGTAACTATAGCCAATATCGTAGTAATATGCATGATAATGTTCAAGCGTTACCATATATTTCATTTATTATATTTGTGTGTGTGTGAGTCACAGAACAGCTTCACAGATAATGTTTTAATGGTATTATGGAAATATGTATTTTTAGACCAGCTGACACAATAATACAAAATATTACAAATCCTAAATGATTGTACGTTTTCTTTAACATATCTTTGTGTTATTCATTTATCTTTGCCAATTAATTAATCTGGCTTTTGTTTTGTTTTTTAATGCTTTTTTACAATTATTACTAAACGTATAATTACAATAAATAAGACTGTGACGCG